AGATTAAATAAGATAGGAGACAGAATTCCACCCTGCCTAACACCATTACTAACGCCAAATGGTGCAGAGATGCTGGCACCCCATTTAACCTGTATCTTCTGATGAGCATACCAGTAAGACAGGATTCGCACAATAAACCCAGGGACCCCCCGTAGCTTTAACTTAATAAAAAGTTTTCTGTGGTTTACACGATCAAAAGCCTTAGAAGCATCAATAAAACACATAACGACAGAAGAATTTCTATTTCTGTACCCGTTGGGGTCTAAAATCAACAACTTAACTCTCCCAGACCTTTCCATCCTTCTTTCCATCTGAAAACTCAAAGTTATAAGAGAAAATAAACCCAAAAACATCGGCAAACTATGACTCTTTTTCCAGTCTCTGTAGTATTTTATTAATAAAGTATCTGAATTTAGTGAAAAAAATAAAATTAAAGATCCATCCTTTTTCCTCTGTGTTAAAGTTTCATTTCCTAAATATAACAGTTATTTCTGAATAAAGGCATCTTTAACTTGATGGAAGCAGAGTCTATGTGTTGAATCTTATTGAGATAAGATAATGAGCTCGTAGAAAGACAAAGATTTGAAAATATCCAATTAGATTAATTCCATCATGCCCCAAATTACAAGGTAACATATTTGTGGAATTTTAATTTATTTTAATTTATTAACTTATTAATTAATTTGTTTATTTATTTATTTTTTCTTCTCTGTATGCCAATGTCTATCTCATGTATTACACCTTGTACATCGATGTTGTTTTGTCAATATGTCATGTCTTGTATGTAGCATATGTCAATAAAGATTGTTTTAATGGTTGAAGCTACAATGAGGCATGAGTTGCTGAGGGTGTGTTGGAGTGAGGCAGAAGGAAAATGAGTGGAGCGAAATTTGAAAGATTGCGATTTGTTTCTGGATTTTGGAGAAGGATTTCGGATCACAGACTTTGGCGGTTGGCATAAGCTGGTGTGTGAATGGCTGGAATGGTGTCTCAGGAAGAGGATGAGGACGAAATGGATTTTGGTGCGTGGACCCAAGTTTCTAATGGTGGAAGATCAGGTAGAGGGAGAAACAGGAGAGATGGGGAAAGTGTGTTTGGATTACAGACCAGTAAACAGAGTTTAGAGGAGATCAGTTCTGATGAAGGTACAAATGTAATCCGGAAAAAGATAGTTAGAGAAGGATTCAAAATAATCGTGAGGTTCAGAAAGGAAGATGAGAAAGTTCAGTTGAGCCCAATTGCTTTATCAAGAGAATTTAAAAAAAAAGTTTGGGGAGGTTCAGCTGGGAGTGAAGACTGAAGAACAGAAAAGGAAAGTAGTGAACATTGAAAGTATTTGTAAGAAGATAGTGAGTGAAAAAAGGGTACTCGGAGAAAATAAAGTGACACGGGGGGGGGGGGGGGGGGGGGGGGGTACCAGTGGAGGAAGATCTGGGAAAAACTTAAGCTGAGTATTCGTGGTGGTGAAGTGAGCAGGGTGAAAAGACTGTTGAAGACATTAGATGGAGGGAAGGTTGAAAGTTTATCCATACTTTTGGAGTTTCAGGAGAATGTCCTTCCGGAGAGGGTTAGAATAGGGTGCATGAGCTTCCCTGTTAGAGCTTATATCCCTCCACCCCTCAGATGTTATAAATGCCAGAGGTATGGACATATTGCAGCAGTGTGCAAAGGGAAACAGAGGTGCCCTAAGTGTGGAGGTGAACATAGATATGAGGAATGTGGAGAGCATGTACAAGACAAATGCTGCAGCTGTGGGGGGCAGCATAGGGGGTGTTATGGGGGCTGTGAAGTCAGAAAGAAGGCAGTGCAGGTTGAACAAATAAAAGTGGTTCATGACATCAGCTACGCAGAGGCTCTAAAAAGGGCACAGAATGGAAAGGATGAGGCTAGAAAAGTTCAAACAGAGTCGCCATCAGATTTCGTGCAAACACAAGAAACCTACACAGGATTGACAGTGGAGAAGATGATTTTGTTTATGGCGTATGTCATAAACTGTACAGATCAACTGAAACACAGAACAGAGAAAATAAAAATAATTGTGAAAGGAGCAGAGAGATTTTTTGGCATTAAAGACATTTCATGGGAACATATCAATAAAAGACTTGGGGAGGAAGGGAAAGCAGGAGGTCCTGGTGACAGGACAGCATGATTATATTACAATGGAATGCCAGAAGTTTGATTGCAAATGGACAGGAATTTAAGGGATTTATCAATAAATGCAAAATAAAACCAGATATAGTATGTATTCAGGAGACATGGCTAAAACCTAATTTAGATTTTATTATTGCAGGTTATGATGGTATCTGTAGAGACAGAAAGGAAGGTAATGGAGGAGGTTGTGTGACATTTGTGAGACAAGGAACTCAGTATAGAACTGTACATATAGGATCACAGTTAGAGTTCAGAGTGATTGCAATCTGGTGAAGAAATTGTAATATTAAAGTAATCAATTTTTATAATCCAGGCAACAGAATATTAGATATAGATGAACTAGATACACATTTAGAGGGAAAAGTCATTTGGTGTGGGGACTTCAATGCGCACAATTCCTCATGGGGCAATAGCAATGATAGGAATGGGGCAGTTATTGAGGAACTGATGGAAACAAAACATTATGTATTTTTGAATGATGGAAGTGGTACAAGATTAAATATTAGAGCTGGTACAGAATCAGCAATTGACCTCACATTAGTGTCGGATTCATTAGCAGGTTTTTGTTCGTGGCAGGTATGTCTGTGAAGGTTCTCAGTCATCCAGGTCATTGTAGTCTAATGAGCTTTGAAAGAAAAGCATCTGGACTTCTTTGAGTTGCTTGAAGACGTTTCACCTCTCATCCGAGAGACTTCTTCAGTTCTAAGGTCAAATGGTGGAGAGTCCCAGATTTAAACCGAGTGGGAGTTTCCCCCCGAAGAGGGAAAAAAAGACCCCCTGATGATCTTCTACATAAACACATGAGCCAAGATGTGAGGGTGGGTGTGGGTCCTATTCAGCCAGAGTTTCGGGTGAGCTCATTGTGAAGCCTGGCCCCACCCTATAATGTGAATTCCTGAGGTCAGATGGCCCAGGATATGCGTGGGCGTTGAGGCATCTGGGAAGGGATCTCAAAACTGGATTATAGATGGCACAGTTGGTGTCGTAAACCACCGCCTCTGTTCAAAGATGGCTGCTCACAGTGGACATAAATGGCTTCCTTTACTCCTCTTTCAAACCATCTGTCCTCTCTGTCCAAAATGTGAACGTTGGCATCCTCAAAAGAGTGACCTTTGTCCTTTAGATGCAAATGAACTGCTGAGTCCTGTCCCGTGGAGGTGGCTCTTCTATGTTGTGCCATGCGCTTGTGAAGTGGTTGTTTGGTTTCTCCAATGTAGAGGTCTGGGCATTCCTCGCTGCACTGTACAGCATACACCTGTCACGACGTGCTGCGGAGTGAAGCGGAGCTAAGGCGAGGATCCAGACCGGGGAGGAAGCAGGCAGACAGGTAGGATTCACTTGACAGGTTTATTAGGACGCACGCTGGACAATGAAACAATGACACCACAAGGAACACAGAACAGAAGGGGTTTAAATACACGAGGAGCAGGAGCTAAGGTGATTGGGAAACAAGAGGCAGGTGGGAGCAATTAACGGGGACACAGACTACAACCTAGGAGAAGACAGGACAGGGTGTGACAGTACCCCCCCCCCCCCCCAAAGGGCGGATCCCAGATGCCCACAGGAACCAGGAGCAGGGTGGGGGGAGGTGGACCCGGAGGGAGGGCCCAGAGGACGATGGAGAGGCGGCAGGTATCAGCAGAGTCCGGGGTCCGGCGCCCGCGGCAGATGAGGCGACAGGCCCTTGGAGGCCGGCGGAGGAGGCGACGGGCCCTTGGAGGCCGGCGGAGGAGGCGACGGGCCCTTGGAGGCCGACGCCTGCGGCAGAAGAGGAGACGACGGGCCCTTGGAGGCCGGCGCCTGCGGCCGAAGAGGAGGCGACGGGCCCTTGGAGGCCGGCGCCTGCGGCAGAAGAGGAGGCGACGGGCCCTTGGAGGCCGGCGCCTGCGGCAGAAGAGGAGGCGACGGGCCCTTGGAGGCCGGCGCCTGCGGCAGAGGAGGAGGCGACGGGCCCTTGGAGTGATGGATTATCAGTATACACAGGTGAAATGCTCGCAATACTGTTAGCTGTTCAATGGGTGGAAGAAAACAGACCATTATTCTCAGTTATTTGTTCAGACTCCAGCTCATCATTAACCAGTTTAAAGTGCAGCCATTCAGAAGGCAGACCAGACATACTACTAGATTCAGCAAACACTTTATAGAATAAGCATGATGGGACTTAAAATACATTTTTTATGGATTCCAGCTCATTGTGGACTCAGAGGTAATGAAGGAGTCGATAAGTTGGCTAAGGAAGCAACAATAAATGCATCGGTTCAGTTAGATATTCACTATTGTCAAAGAGAGATCAAGAGCATAAGAAGGCGAGAAATGAAGAAGAAATGGCAAAAACAATGGGAGGAGGAAAGGAGGGGAAGATGGTTGTATGACATTCAAAGAAGAGTGGGAGAAATGAGAAACACTGGAAGGAGGAGAGAGGAGATGATCATTGCTAGACTAAGGTTTGGACATACTGGGTTAAATAATACATTATTCATGATAGGGACACATAACACAGGGAAATGTGATTATTGTGGAGAAGACGAAACTATATATCGTGTTATATTACATTGTCAGAAATATCAGGCGGAAAGGAGGACAACGGTTCACACTCTTAGTCAGATGAAAGTGAAACTGGATCTTGTTGATTTATTGAGACAAAATTCAAGGAGTGACTGTTTCCAGATTTTATTTCGGCTTTTGAGAGAGACAAGGGTGTTTGGGAGACTTTGAGGTTTTTTTTTTTTTTTTTTTTTCCCTGTTTGGTTTTGTTTTGAGGCTGCTGTTCCAGACCATACTCCACACTAGTTGGTGGCGGTAATGCACCATTTGTTGTTTGCCAACCGCCAATAAAACTCCAAAAGAAGAAGAAGAAGATGAAGAAACTACAATGACGTCATTTAAATGCGACAGAGAGAGGGCGGTTTGAAAACATTTCAAACATCGGTAAGCTACGGGTAAGAAGGCAAAAGGATCTACTCAATGTCCGAAAGACATTTCACCCACAAGTTGTGAAGGACTACCCTACTTTGCTTTCTTAAACACGTTCTATAAACTTAAACGGACTTGTTGACGGTGGTTAGCATGCTAGCCGCTGAGCTAGCTTCAACATCTTCTGCTCATTGAGTGTACATTTTCCGGGGATGGCGAGCGTGCATGAAAGTCTGTATTTCAACCCCATGATGACGAATGGGGTGGTTCACGCTAATGTGTTCGGCATTAAGGACTGGGTCACCCCGTATAAAATCTCCATTCTGGCGTTGCTGTATGAGATGACCGCTTCTAAGATTTCTCTACCGGAGAGGAGACGACTGAACAAACTAATCCTACCCCTTCAGCAGGTATTATGATTAGTATGATGGTTATTATTGTTATTATTATTACTGCTCTTGTTGTTTACTATGTTTCCATTGTGATATAGGGTCCAGATCTGACTCTTGGGCAGTTCCTCAAGACAGTGGAGGAGTGTTGTCCTCAGACTGCTTATGCCGTCAAACTCAGGTCTGCTGCTTTTTTTATTATTCTGGAATATCTTCCAATAACCTACTGACCCCTTGGGTCACTGAAATATCTTAATTATTCTCTAAAGTGGTTAAAAGCAGTTCAAATGTTATTTACTCAACTTATATTCTTTGCAAACAATTTGAAGAGAATTTGAACTTGGTGAAGGGCCACATTGCTGGCCAAATAATTTGCCACCAAGAAAAGGTCACACTAATATTTTGCTTTCTAGCACACGTTTATTGTAGCTTTGTTTCTATAAGCTTCTGCAATGTCACAAGACTTGTTTCCATCGAGTGTTGCAATATGTTTCACCAAGATCTTGTAATGATGATGGGAAAGTCCTCCCACTGAGCAAAGCCTGCTTCTGCAACACATCGCTTAGATTCTCAGTGGGGTTTGGGTCTGGACTCTGTGGTGGCTGATCCACATGTGAAAATGATGTCTCATGCGCCCTGAACCACTCTCTCATGATGGTAAAGCTTCTGCTAATTGCACGCATGTTTTATGGAGAGCTCACACACCATCTGACTTTGAGTTTGGAGACCGTAAGTGATTCTTTGCAGATGAAAAAAAATCAGAAATGCCAAGTAGTTACATGTTATGGGTGAATCCCTTTGCGGTGTGTTCCTAAACATCTTCTGGAACATGTGAACAAGTCTGGTTTTCTTTGTCACGGGTTGGAATTTTAAATCAAAGTTTTACAAAGAAAGAGAGAAATCTTGCCATCGCTTGTGTCAGTAGTTTGTAGTTTATTAATGACAGTTTTCTTTTTCATGTTCTGTAAAGGTTGCATGAAATAGCAGATGGAGAGATGAAGGACATGGAGTACTTTTTCTCCACTCTCCCCACGCCGTTCACTGCTTTTGATTCTGAGGCTTATAAAACCAGCGTTGTCGGTGAGAAACACACAAAACCACTTTTAGAGTTTGATTAAGTTCTTTCTCTGTTTGATCTGTTGTTAAACTGTGTTTTTTTAGGTCTTTTTATGAGACATATGATCCTTGCATACAACAAACTGTCCTTCAGTCAAGCATACAAGCTGTACAAGTTGCTGCAGCACTACTATCACAGTCACTATGCCAAGCCTACAGATGGGCAGATGGGTCTGATGGTGCTGATCGCTGATGACTCTGATATGGACCTCACCAGCACCGAAGACACCATAGGGGACAGGATGGACAAAGAAGAGCAGGACACCCCATTGCATGAATCAGAACTTCAGTTAGTGCCCCAGTTTTCTTTTTCTTATTTTTTTTAATAAATTACTTACAAATAGAAATTCTAAATTCAAAACCATAAACACTTTCAGACTTTGAACGGATGATTTTTTTTTATTCACGTGTATTTGTTTTAGAGGTGACAACACTGAAAGCAGAGGGCCTCTGTCTCAAAAACAAGCTGAATATTTCCTTGCGAGACAAGTGAGTTCTGACTGTTTTAAGCTAACGTTCCTGTTATAGATTTAAAACTCCACCTGAGCTTTAGTTGTGCTGTTGTAGTGCTCAGATTGTATCAACCTGTCTGCAGGCGTATCTTCTGAAGAATGATGAAAACAAAGCCCTAAAACCTGCTGTGCTGCAGGAAGAACTCAACAACATGCTAAAGTTTAACCCAGATTTTGCAGAAGCGGTGAGGTCCAGCTCCGAAACCTTGAACTGTTTTTAGTAAACCTGAGCGGTTTCAGTCAGTCAGGAGCTCTTCTCTCTCTCCGCAGCACTACCTGAACTACCTGAACAGCATGAGAGTCCAGGACATCTTCCTCTCAGCCCACAGTCTCCTACATTATTTTGATCGGCTCATCCTGTCTGGGAATGAGGGCAAAAGCAACGGAGACGAGGGCTACGGTCGAAGTCTCCGCTATGCTGCGCTTAACTTGGCGAGCTTGCACTGCCGCTTTGGCCACTAGTGAGTAGAGGAAGTGATGCAGGCTGATCTTTTCCGCAGAAGAATTAATTATTTTTCCTGTCAGTCAGCAGGCTGACCTGGCTTTACAGGAAGCAATCCGCATCGCCCAGGAGTCCAATGATCACGTCTGCCTGCAGCACTGTCTGGTAAAAGAACGCTTTTTGTTTTGTGAGACTTTAGTGTTGTTGCCATGTTGGGCTGTGAGTTACATACTGGTGTTTTCTGTCAGAGCTGGCTCTACACGCTGGAACGGATGAAGGGCTCCGACAGCACCGTGCTCATGGAGGATTCAGTGAAAATGGCCGCTCATTTCTGCCTGCCAGTGAGTGACGCATTAGGTTTCAGATCATGTTGCATTTGCATAACTTTGGTTTGTTGCTTTAACACTTTGGCTCAATAATCAGGACTTCGACGACCTCAGCTAGTGGCTCCACATCAGTTTCTGTTCTGGTTTGTTTAGCTTTTTTCGTTTTCAGAGCAATAAAAACCTGACACGCTCAAACATGCTGAAAGCTTTTTACGTGGTGGAAAATGCACGTTGGTCCCAACCGGCATCACAGCTGTGTGTTAAAGAGACAATGTGTAGTTTTACCTTTAATTTCTGGAAACATCGATCAAAATGTTGTTGAAAATGAATGAAATAATGCCCAGTTGTTGAAAAATATTGGTAGCTTTGTAACATATAACCATAAAAATCAGGTCTAAAATACAAGGGAGCGGGTCTAACGCCCAGAACACGCCAGCTGCAAAGCGCCGCGAAGCAGATCGCTCACGAAATTTGTGCGCTGTCCTCTCCTCCTCTGTTCACATCAGGCGAGAATTTTCAATAAGTTCTTCTGCTCACTCCTATTGTGTTCCAAACCCCCCCACCCCACCCTTGTGTGTGTGTGTGTGTGTGTGTGTGTGTGTGTGTGTGTGTGTGTGTGTGTGTGTGTGTGTGTGTGTGTGTGTGTGTGTGTGTGTGTGTGTGTGTGTGTGTGTGTGTGTGTGTGTTAATTTTCATCTAGTCTGTTTAGATACACAAAATTGATCACGTTTATCAATTGTAATGTTTTATTTAGAAATGTTTCTTTTATTTTGTTAAATTTCCCAGCCTGCCTCTTCTGCTTTGGTTTGACTTCCTGCCAGAATTGACGTGGCTCACTCACAGCTCACGAAAAAATAGAGCTCACGTCGAAACGATGGCTGCACTGCGCGAGCCTTCGTGGTGCTTCGCAGCTGATGTGAACGAGAGCGTAGGTGAACAAGGGTGCCGATTAGAAGCGCTCGTCGTTCCTTGGCGCTTTGTCGAGCCTGCTGTGTTCTGGGCGTAAGTCTCTGGGCTACGCCATATTAGATGCCATGTTTCCTTCTATGGGAGCCCATGAGGAAAAAATGCATTTACTGATTTGTAACGGTTACAAAACTTTCATCATTCTTAAATGTTGTTGTTTTACACGTTAACGTCTTCCCTTGCTGTCAGTGATGAAAGGGAATCTGATGTGCCTATTATGTTGCTAAAGTTTGCACTCCCCGGTGCTTTTTGACCCTAATGGGCATCCGTTGGTAAGGTATTACTCCAACACAAAAATACTGCTTGCTTGCAACGATTTAGGTATCTACTGCCTCCATCGCCAGGAAAAATACACACTGTCACTTTAATGAGATACGATTTTACAGAATCAACATCTTGTTACATAAAAAACTTGTATGATTAACTCTTCCACTGTTCTCCAGTCAAAATGATCTGTTTCAACAAACATTCACTTTGTCTGTAAAATATTTCTCTGGAGGTTTCAGCTTGATGCATATTAGAAAGTGAATTCAAAATTAACTTTATTTAATTTTTTACTGATCCAATTCAATCCAAACACACTCCTTTAACATGGTGTGTTTCTGATCATTTCACTTAATGCAGTGAAGAGTTATAAAGGTGTTAAAAGTTAGAAATCACTTTTTTTTTTTGGTCAGGCTTGTTTGTTTGTGAGCACAACCTTTGACAGAAATTCAGCTGCTGTCACGTCAAGAAAAGGTGTTTTTGTCAGAGAGAGGCTGTATTTTAATCTGCATCAGTCCTCACCAGCTCTGAATGCGTCTGTTCACACAACCTCTTCTGGTCTGTTCTATTATATTTGTAGAAGAACCCATAGAAATTCCATTCACAGTAATGAGGAGATGTTTTGTAACTAAAATGTAGAATTTTTTTGTTTGTGTCTTTGTGAAAATGGAGCCAAAGCTACTGCAGATTTTAGAAAAATAGTTCCTGATGTCAATGTAACCAGACCTCTGGATTATTGGTTGTCATGTTTGGGTTTTTTCTTTAGTATTTGGCATCCCTGGGTATTCAGTCATTGGTCCAGCAGGGGGCGACGCAGGGTAAGACAGCCCACAAGCTGATGGACGCACTGAAGGACACCGACATCCTGCACTGGAAGCACAGTCTGTCGGAGCTGATCGAGATCAGCCTGACTCAGACTACCTCCATATGGAGGATGTACGGAAAAAGGTCAGGCTCTTCACCGTGTCATCCAAACACACAGTTGTCATTTCTGCTCACCGATGACCACACACTAGTACAAAAGCTCTTCCTCGTTCACATTACATCAGATCAGTGGAACCGCTCAGACTCCTCATTCATGGATGTTCAATTCAGTCAGATCGTCCTCTGCTCATTTTAGATGATCGAAGAGCACAAACACAGGCCTCACAGGCAGCATGTCCCATGTTTTGTACAGCACCATGGCTCTGCAACAGGCCCAGCTGCTTCTCAACATGAGTAGTCTGGAGCCCGTCAACTTTGGGGTCCATCAGAACAACACAGAGGCCTTCGCCGTGGCGCTCTGCCACCTGGCCGAGTTGCACGCTGAGCAGGTAACATGTTTTGATTTCATCTTGTGGTCCTGTGTTCCATCCTGCAGTGAGTCACTCACTGGGAAGGTTAATAATCCTCCCACCCAGTGTTGTGTAGAAGTAAGGAACATTAATCAGGCTCACCCTCCTGCTCCTGGGTGCTGAATTTCACTGTTCTTGTCTCGCGTATCTTTGTTTTTGCTGCAGGGCCTGTTCAGTGCTGCTTCAGAGATTTTTCATCATCTGAGAGAGCAGTTTCCTCCTCACACTCCGCATGCAAAGGTATTTTTTATCTCAGCTATAAGTTATATTTGCAAGAGAGAAGTCACCTAAGATGTGTTTTAGACCAATAGATGTAGCTGCCTGGGGATGTGCCTGACTTTAAATGGACTTTACTAAGGAGGCATACCGGTGTAGGTACCGGATCTGCTCAGGCTGCCAGATCGGCTCGGGGTCTGGCGCCTGCCGATGACATCACACTAGGTGATTGGCTGAACTTGGGACTTACGGATGTTACGACACCACGTCGGAAAAGTTACGTTGGCACGTTCACACTGAAGATTCTGATCGGTCTAAACACTTTTTGGGGAAATAAGGAAAACAAAATTAAAGCAAAAATATCACCTGACGAAAAGCCTCGGCAGCTCGTGATTTAGATGAAATGGACAAAATAAAAAGAAAAGAACTTTACTGAACAAACGGCAAGCAACGTTTAGAATGAATGAACTGATTTATTTACATAAGAGCTAACAAATTAAACAAAAGATTTTCACATTTATACAAACAGAAAAATGATGTAAATACATGAAAAAACGTTCCCAGATAAGAAGTGTTGGGCTGTTTGGCAGTCTGATGTTGGTTTTATGAAGTTTCACATTCTTTGAAAAACAAAGACAATATGGTGTTTTATTAACAAATTACAGTTATAAAGGAAACGTTTGAGTTGTAAGAAACAAGAATTTGTTAACAAAACTGCTGAACTCTTTCCAAAACGTATGAGTGAAAGCTGAGCGGGTTTGCCGTAGTGTGATGTCATCGGCAGGCGCAGGACCCCGAGCCGATCTGGTACCTACACCAGCTAAAACAGGTCAATATCAACCGACCTTTATATGGGTCTACCCCTACTGTTTAGTTGTTAGGGTCAAAGCTGGTTAGTGTCTGTTTAGAGTTTATACCAAAAAAAAAATCTCTTTTTTCATTGTTTATTATTAGTCTGCTGATCTTTGTCAGCTGTTTACCTGGTAACAGTCTGTACGCTACTTACATGTGTTACAGTTTTCTAAATAAGTTGTGTGTTTTAATAAGAATTATGCTGCTAAACAAAGTAAGAATTAGCATTTAGAGTTGATTTGTTTTTGTGCAAACGTGCTATTCTGTTGTATTCGTTTTAAAATACTAGAGTACATGTTTGTTTATCTTAATTCCCCATTCAGCTCTGGATGCTGTGCGATTTGAAAATTCAGTTTGACAAACACATGAATGAAAGGAAGTACCATTTGGCTGAGCCACTAGTGAAAGCTATCTCTGCCCTCGATAAAACGGAAGGACTCTACAGGTACCACCGACGCGTTGGTGTTTCGTACCCGTATCCGTTGTGCTGTCCGAGTAACCGTGCGTTTAACAACAGGAAAGCTCAAGTTCTGAGTGCACTGAACCGCAGCACTGAGGCGTACAACATCTTACAGCGTCTGCAGGTCCACAGTGAGAAGACCAGATGCACAGAGATGATCATCAGGTTTCCTTCTTCTGTTAATTTTTCTTTTGTTTCCTGCTTTACAACAACTAAGCTTAGTCCACCATTGACTTGTGAATTTAAATTGGCTGTTGGGGTATGTGCTGTAAAAGTCGGGAGTTGGTCTGAGCCACATTTTGATTGTTGTCTACATTGTTGTGATCTCCAGAGTGATGCTCTCCGCTGCTGAGCTTCACTGGGAGTCGTCCGGCTTCTCCACAGCTCTTCCTGTCCTGCTGCAGGCCCTGGCTCTGGCCAGACAGCACCACCTTCAGTCTCTGGTCTCAGAAACGGCCCTTCATCTGGCCGTCACTCAGGTCAGCCTCAACAGGAGACATTACTTAGACACGGTCTAAATTGTGTTGCTTTTACCGGGTCGTTTTCTTGTGATGTCAGGTTGGAGAATCAGGGAGAATTTCTCTTAGAAGAGTCAAACAAATAAGGAATTCAAACAGGTCCCATTAGAAACTATTTCCTGTCCTCTGAATTTAAGTTTGTGACATTTGCAGTAGTTCTACGCTTCACTCTTGTTTTACATTGCAACATGTAAACATTAGGTTGTTTTTTGCAAATAACTGAAATGTGTAATTCAGGCTTGTTTCTTATTGCATTTTAGCTGATGCTAGGAGTTCCTGAGCAGGCTCTGAGTGTTCTTCATGAAGCCATGGAGCCTGTTCTGGCCCACGGAGCTGTCATAGACAAAGGACGGGCCATGCTGCTGGCGGCTCGCTGTCAGATGGCTGTGGCTGGGTTTGGACCTAACCGACAAGGTCACCCAGGTAATAAACACACCTCTACAAACCTACTTCCTACCAGAATCCATCTCTTAAATATTATAACATTATCTTTGTTTATGGTCCTGGTAGATGTGCAGTTGGCCCTTTTGGCTGTCGGCTCTCTAAACGAGGCTGCAGCCTATTTCTCTAGGCTAAACTGTAAGGAGAGGCTGCGGGATGTCCACTACCTGCAGGCTCAGCTCTACCGCTCATTGGGACAAACTCTGGAGAGCAACAAAAGTGCCATGCTCTTTCGGCTGCTGGATCAGGAGCTGCAGTCACCAGCACCGCTCGCCTCCATGCGACTCTAACAGTAAAGACAAACAGGATGCCCTATGTCCCAGAACCCCACCCACCCAAATTCAGGTGGTCTCTCCACAAACTAACTGGAATGTCACTTTCATAAATATTTTTATTTGAAGATGCAAAACTCAGCACAAAGGGCCACAATGACTGTCACAACACATGATACAAACAAGCGGTCATAAATAAAAATAAGTGAGGTAATTGTTGTGTCCTCTTGTGTGATTTGATGCAGATGGGATTGCACTAATTATAAAAGTGCAACAGAACAAATTCCTTGTATGTAAAGCAGGGAATATAGGTATTTGACAATCAGCATTTTTATTAGGAAGGGTATTTCTAAGTGGGCGATGGACACAAAATTCCCACCAGATGTTGCCATCAAGCCAAATATTGGATTCATACAACGAAATCATAACATTTAAGTAGGAAAGTTGAGTCAGGATACTTAAAGTGAAAGGGGGACCGCAGAGTGTGTTCCCTAGCACAGAGGGATCACGCGTCTGAGTCCCTGGTAAGGCCTATTCAGGGGTTCTGGAGAGGAGGGTCCATCGGATTGTCGAACCTCAGATTTGGGAAGATCAATGTGGTTTTTTTCCTGGTGTTGGAACACTGGACCAGCTCTATACCCTTAGAGGAATCCCGGAGGGTGCGTAGGAGTTCACTCAATCTGTGTTTTGTGGATTTGGAGAAATTGTTCAACTGCATCCCCGGGGCGGCCTGTGGGGGGTACTCTGGGAGTATGGGGTACTAGGCCCTTTGATACGGGCCGTTGGGTCTCTGTATGACCGGTGTCAGAGCTTGGTCCGCACGGTCAGGAGTAAGGCGGGCTTGTTTCTTGTGAGAGTTTGACTCTACCAAAGCTGCCCTTTGTCACCGATTCTGTTCATAACTTTTATAGACAGGATTTCTAGGCACATTCAAGGTGTTGAGGGGATCTGTTTTGGTGGCTTGAGGATCGGGTCTCAGCTTTTTGCAGGTGATCTGGTCCTGTTGGCTTCATCAGAACGTCATCTCCAGCTTTTGGGAGTGGACCCAGTGAAAGACCCAGGACGCGTTGGAGGGACTATGTCTCGGCTGGCCAGTGAACGCCCTGGGATTCCCCCAGAGGAGCTGGCCCAAGTTGGGCAGAGGCAAGTGTGGGCCTTTTGGCTAAGGCTGCTGCCCCCGCGACCTGACTCCAGATAAGCGGCTGAAAATGACACAGGGAATAAGTATTTAATACATTGTAGAAATGCCTTTGTTCGTGATTCCAGTTTCTAGACACCTCTTGTATGGAGAGACCAGTCGTCTGCATTGCTCAAGTTTGATTCTGGCCCATTCTTCCACAAAAACAGTTCAAATCTTGAAGGTTCCTTGGGCCTCTTTATGAACTTTGACCTTCAGTTCTCTTCATAGCTTTTCAGTGGGATTTAGGTCAGGTGGTTCAAGCAACTTGATTTATCTTTATTTGAAATCATTTCATTGTTTCCTTGGCCTTGTGTTTGGGATCATTGTCTTGCTTAAATGTTTACCCTCTTTTCATTTTCAGCATTCTGGTAGATGGACTTCAGTCATGACCTTCAGATGGCAGCAGATTTTTATCCGATATGTCCTGGTGCATTTCTCCATCTATCCCGCCTTCAATAAGTCTGTTAGTACCCCTTTCCCGTTAGCATCATGCTTGTCACCAGTGAGAAATGGACTCCACCAAGGCTGCCCTTTTTTGTGTGTGAATATTATTATTAATGGGTGAATGAAGGAGTAAAAGGGTCATTTACGTTCATAATTAGTTACTTAGTATAAACTCTTCTTGTGAATTCTTTCAAATACAATTACATTTTGGCAATAGTGACAGGGAAATCTACTCTTGCAGTATTTTCTCTCAACGTTTAGCTAACACAAATAAAACACTAGAAAAATTGCATTTGTTGCACAAATGCTGTTTGAATGCTGGATAGCTGAAACTGTAAGCTGAACAGCTGAACTGAAGCCGAAACAAAGCAGAACTGTCAAAATGAGCTGAATGTATTTAAAGATTTAAAAGCAAAAATCACCAACAAGTGTAATAAAGCTCAGAATATAGGAGAAGGATGGATAAAAATGCTAAACAGCAGACAATTTTAATCTTTGAACATTTATTAAAAACTCAAATTTTGAAATGTTAAACAGCTGGCATTTGAATGAGAATAGATTAACGGGTACATTTTTACAATTGGCTGAACTGTGAATTTAGAAATATTTGCTGATATCTGAAACTGATAGATTAGCATATGTTTAGATTTGATATTGGATGGATGAATGGTTGGATGAATGAAATAACGGATGGATTGTTGGTTGGATGTTAGATGGTTTATTGGATGGATGGATAGATAGAAGCATATATGGATTCCTTAGGCCAAGCCGATCGATTTGATGTCTCACATGTGTGGGTGTGTAATTCCATTTAGCCAGAAGATGATTGATCTCTCAACCAATCAAGGAGCTGGGAGGGAGCGGGGCACTTTCCCACCTTCTGACGGTCAATCAAATTGAACGTGTTTCTAGTTTTAAGTATAGATAGTTCAACACGATCAAAAACAGGAGTCTGATATTGGCTCAATATTCAGCTTTTTAATATTCATTCCTATGAGACTTGGTTAAAGTGATCTGGTAACAGATGACGCATTTAAAATTGAATACAAGATTCCTGAGACCAAGGCAACAGCTCTAACCACTGTGCCCCTGCGAAGCCTGCACACATTCAATTTTAGCCATTTAGAATAGAACATTTTAGCCTCCTTGTCTTAAAGAAGCTTAAAAAATCTTAATCTTTTTAATAAACATTTTGGGAATTATAATATTATAAAGGAGTAGGAGGAGGATTTGAAGGGGATGAACATGTATTAGTAAAGGTAAAAGACATCCTTAGTAGAAACACTAATTTCTTCCAAACATTGTTTTTTTCCTTAAAAGAATGGGAAATTTGCGCCCTCTGCTGGCCACAAACAGCAGTAAGGAATAAAGAGAAGGTGGGAAAATGCTGTCCTCCGGTGGCTGTTTGCTGTAACTGCACCTATTTCATTTTATCAATCAATCAATCAAAGCTTTATTTATAAAGCGCCTTCCGCAACCCTGTCAGGAAGCCCAAGGCGCTGAACATGGTACAGTACAAAGTTAAATATAGTGAATAAATCAGAAATTAGAAGCTATTCAAATTACAAAACACAAATTACAAAAAATGTGAAACATTCTAGTAGAAGACAAATGTGTAAAACAAGGGATAGAGTGAACCAATGAAAACTGTGAGATAAAATCAACATAAAAGAGGGCCAGATTCAAACATGTTCAGGAAATGCCAAGCAGAGGAGGTGGGTTTTTAGGCGACTCTTGAAGACTGGCAGAGATGGGGATAGCCTAACTGAGGGTGGCAACTGGTTCCATAGTGACAGTGCTAGGACTGAGAAAGCCCAGTCCCCGCGAGTTTGACACCTAGAACGAGGGACAACGAGCAGGCCTTGATCAGAGGAGCGCAGAGCGCATGATGGGGAATGTCTGTTCAGGAGCGTGGCCAGATAGGGGGTAGCACCACCCTGGAAGAAATTAAAAACAAAGACGAGGAGTCTGAAGTGTGAACGATAGCCAACCGGAAGCCAGTGCAGGGAGGTCAGAACCGGACTGATGTGGTCCCGTTTCCTGGTCCCAGTCAGGAACCTGGCTGCGCTGTTCTGCACCACCTGTAGGCGACGCAGTGATGACTGACACAACCCTGCATATAGAGAGCTGCAGTAATCAAGCCTAGAAATTACAAATACATGCATTACCCGCTCCAGGTGGGCTCTCGACAGCATGGGCTTGATTTTTGCAAGGCGTCTCAGGTGAAAGAAACTGGACCGGATCACAGAGTTGATGTGAGCATCAAATTTAAGTCCAGCATCAAGTTTCAGCCCCAAACTGGTCACAACTGATTTTGAGTATGGAGAAAGAGGCCCAAGATCAACATGACGATCCACATTCCTGCTATTGGGGTGAAAAACAATTAGCTCTGTATTTCCCTCATTCAGATGCAGAATGTTGGCCATTAGCCAAGACTTCACCTCGTTAACACAGGACACAAAGGACTGGATAGAGAGACCTTTCTCCTGAAACAATGGAGAGTAAATCTGGCAGTCGTCAGCAAAGAGATGGAATGATAGACCATGTTTACGAAAGATTGACCCCAGAGGTAGCAGATAAATGGCAAACAAAAGAGGACCAAGGATCGATCCCTGCGGGACCCCCCAGCGGAGCCCCTCCCAAGAAGAAAAAACATCACCCAGTTTAACGCAGAATGTCCTGTTGTGGAGATAAACCAATCCAGTGCTGACCCTTTGATCCCAACCCATCGTTGCAAGCGATCCAGTAGAATCGCATGGTCAACTGTGTCAAAGGCTACTGTCAGGTCTAACAACAGAAGTACCACAGATGTACCCTGATCTAGTGATAGATAGATGTCATTTAAGACCCTCAGTAGAGCCGACTCTGTGCTATGGCCAGACCTGAACCCTGATTGGAAAACCTCGAACAGATCAGAGTCAGCTAAATGTGAGACCAGCTGCTGATAAACGACTTTCTCAAGCAGTTTTGATGTAAAAGGCAGGGTAGAGATAGGCCTGTAATTTTCGATCACAGAGACATCAGCACCAGGTTTCTTCAGGGTCGGCCGAATAACTGCTGCTTTCAAAGCAGCTGGGACCACACCTGTGCTGAGGCTCCCATTGATAATCTGACCAAGTGATGGGCCAAGACATGGAAAGGCAGCCTTCCAGAGACGACGCGGAAGAACATCAAGTGGAGAGCCAGATGGCTTCTGCCTCGCAACAAGCTTACTCAGCTCAGAATATGAAACAGTATTGAGGGAGCTCAGGGTGGGTGGTGATGGAGGAACTGGAACAGGGTCAACAGAGTTACCAGAAATAGCTGCTCTAATGCCTGATACTTTATGAACAAAGAATCTGTGAAAAGCTTCAGAGTTTCCAGCAGCTGTAGGAGACATGGTGCTAGGCTCCTGATACACCAGAACAGAGTTTAGTGTTTTGTAGAGAATCTTAGGATTATTGGAGTTTGTTTCAATGATGTCTGCAAAATAGGCCATTCTGGCAGCCCTCACAGCATCCTGATAAGCAACCAGAGATGCTCTGAACAGCTCACGCGAGACCTGTAGGCCATCCTTTTTCCACTTTCTCTCAGAGGATCTACACGTCCGCCTACAAGCCCGTGTGACATCAGAGAGCCAAGGCTCCTTCCTAGGTCTAGACTTGCAAAGCTTGAGAGGGGCAACCACGTCCAGGTCCTGATTACAAAGTAAATCAAAGTGTTGTGAATAGTGATCAATGTTAGATGGATCTGGGTTAAAGGTCTAACCTTACAGACATACAGTCCACAAACTTTGAAATAGTTTCTGCATCCAGGGCTCTGAACCTGGTAGCTGGAGCTTCACACACAGGGACAGGGCATGGCAACGTAACATCACAGAGTATAGGAGAGTGGTCAGAGAACACAGGAGGCAAAGTCACAAGGTTCATGACAGGGAGACCAAAAGAGAGAACCAGGTCCAGGGTGTGACCCCTGGCATGAGTTGGGGACGATACCCATTGAGTTAGATTGAATGAATCTAGCAAATTAAAAAAACCTTTAGCAAGCACATTGTCAGGACAGCAGATATGGATGTTAAAATCACCAAAAAATAGGACATAGTCATATTTTAGGATGCAGTTTACCACAAGATCACAGAAATCATTAAGAAAGTTAGAGTCTGTCTTTGGAGGGCGATAAATCAGCAGGAGCAGGCGGGGGCACAGTTCAAATAAGCACAGTTCAAAGGAAGAAAATGACATGGTGGGTGTAAGCTGTTTACAAGGAAAGCTGGATTTAAAAACAACAAACAGCCCTCCACCTCTGCCCCGTGATCTGGGGATATTAAAACAGGAGCGGCCAGGTGGTACCAGCTCCAGCAGTGCGCTCGAGTCACCAAACGGGATCCAGGACTCACAGATGCAGAGAAAACCCAAGTCATGCTGAATAAAAAAGTCACGAAGAATAAAAGTTTTGTTCAGCACAGACCTGGCATTGACCAGACCAAACCGGGTCTGTGGCGGGGCTGCAGCACCGAGATCGCGCACGAGCACAGTCTCCTTTAACTCTGTGCCTGTAACCGAGCGCAGATTCTCCCAGCAAACCCCAGTCTGGCGAGATCTTCGAGCCGATCGGCCGTGGCGCGGTGCCAGTTCACCCTCAGAGCCGGCAAAGTTCCCTGGGCAGGGCGCCGAGTAATCCATGAGACATCTCGGAACCACCGGGTCAGAAGCTGGGCCAAATCGGGCCAGCCGCTTCTTCAGGGATCCAGACCGACGTCTCACGCGCCGGCTACCTCTCTTTCCCCGTCTTCTCCGATGCTTCCTTCTCGAGCTGGGGCGGACAGAGGGCCGACACATCACGGCTTGGGGGGAGAGAGCAAACGGGCAGTCCAAACAGCAGCGTCATCCGTGAGGTTCCCAGCTCGCGCAGCCCGGTTCCCAGCACACGCAGCCCGCTACATCAACAGAAGGACGAAGCCTCAGCAGCGCAGCTCGATCGTATGTCAGCAGAGGATCCACACCATTCAAAAAAGCATCAGGGACAACAAAATTGCATAAAAGCCAATAAAACACCAATAAAAACCAGTAAAAAGGAAGGTACCAGTGTATAAAGAGGACGAGCAGCTTGCAGCGTGCACCCGCGCGAGCGCCATCTTACTCCAGTGAGCCATTTTAAGCCATTTAGAATAGAACATTTTAGCCTCCTTGTCTAAATGAAGCTAGCCAGATATAAATCACAAAGTGCTGTACAACATGATAAAGATCAGGGCAAATACCTCTAACCATTAAAAACATCTGAAAAACAATAGCAGTGATAAAGTAGAAAATAAAATCATGAGTATAAACAAAGTGAAGGTGTGAACCCAAACAAAGCCATCTTTTTGAAACATTTAGGGAGGGAACGCCTGGATGAAAAGGTGAGTTTTTAGATGATTTTTAAAGACCTCTACAGTGTTAGAGAGACGGAGATTTGAAGGTAGACTGTTCCAAAGTCTGGGTGCAATAGTCTGAAAGGCCCTGTCCCCTTTAGTTTTCATTCTGGTTCGAGGAACAGCCAGGAGGTTTCCAGATGTGGATCTAAGGTTCCGAGAGGTGATGTGTGGGGATAAAAGCTCAGATAGGTAGCTTGGAGCCTGGTTGTTAAGAGCTCTATAGGTCAGGACTAAAACTTTAAACTGAATTCTATATTCTACCGGGAGCCAGTGGAGGGACTGTAAAACTGGAGTGATGTGAGCTCGTCTGCTGGATTTGGTTAGGAGTCTGGCTGCTGCATTTTGGATGGCTTGAAGGCGTGAGAGGGAGGTTTTGCTGACACCAGTAAAGAGAGTGTTACAGTAGTCTAAGCGTGATGACACAAAGGCATGGATGATTTTTTCCAGATCTGCAGTAGAAACCAGTTTACGGACTTTTGAAATGTTTCTCAGTTGAAAGAAACAAGAGCGGGAGATGGTTTTGACGTGTGAGTCTAAACTTAAAGCTGGATCAAAAATAACTCCCAGGTTTCTAATGTTGGCCTAAGACATCCTAAAGGTTGGTTTATGCTTGACGCATCCGCGAGGTCCGCACGGCTCCGCGCGGAAAAGTTGCGTCATTTTGCGTCATTTTAACAACCACGCCCCTCCACCGCGTCTCCGCACGGCCCAAGATTTCCGCAACGCGCACCTCGGAAAATTTCTAACCACGCGGACGGTCGGACGTGGAAAAACATGGCGGACCGGCACGGCAGAGGTTCGTACATATAGACATTTGTATGATTCAGCTCTCAGAGATCACCGTGATCAACATGTTGTTAATAATTCTTGGAGAGAAATAGCTCGCACTGTCGGAAAAGACAAGAACGCTGTTAAAAATGCTGAAATACCATGTTGTAAACAGTGATTTCTACTTCTACTATGGTGTAGTGTTGGATGCATGCTGTAGAGCTCCATGCTGCCCCGTTCAGTTTGGCAGAATAATGGCTCACCGCAGAGACGAGCCGCACAAACCATAAACGCTGCGAGTTGTGAAGCGCGTTCCAGCCGCGAGCCGCATCACCGCGCGGAAAGTGAATGCGTCAAGCATAAACCAAGCTTTAGTAGAAACACTAATTTCTTCCAAACAGTTTTTTTCCTTAAAAGAATGGGAAATTTGCGCCCTCTGCTAGCCACAAACAGCAGTAAGGAATAAAGAGAAGGTGGGAAAATGCTGCCCTCCGGTGGCTATTTGCTGTAACTGCACCTATTTCCATCCATCCATCTTCTGAACCCGCTTAGTCCACGTAGGGTCGCGGGGTGGCTGGTGCCTATCTCCAGCAGTCAACGGGCAAATAGGCGGGGTACACCCTGGACAGAGAGCCAGTCTATCGCAGGTTAACACAGAGACACACAGGACAAACAACCATGCACACACGCAGTCACACCTAAGGACAATTTAGACAGACCAATTAACCAAAAGCAGTCATGTTTAGGAAGCCGGAGAGAACCCACGCATGCACAGCGAGAAAATGCAAACTCCATGCAGAAATATCCCAAGCTAGGAAGCGAACCCAGGACTTTCTTGATGCAAGGCAACAGCTCTAACCATTGCGCCACTGGGAAGACTGTATACACCCAACTTTAGCAAATTAGAAGAGAACATTGTAGCCTTCTTGTGTTAAAGACGCTTAAAAATTCTTTATCTTTTAATAAACATTTTGGGAATTATATTATTGAGAAGGAGGAGGATATGAAGGGGATTAACCTGTATTAGTAAAGGTAAAAGACATCCTTAGTAGAAACACTAATTTCTTCCAAACTGTTTTTTCCTTAAAAGAATGGGAAATTTGCGCCCTCTGCTGGCCACAAACAGCAGTGAGGAATAAAGAGAAGGTGGGAAAATGCTGCCCTCCAGTGGCTGTTTGCTGTAACTGCACCTATTTCATTTTAGTAAGTAAGTAAGTAAAAGTTTATTTATATAGCACCTTTCACAGATATAAATCACAAAGCGCTGTACAACATGATAAAGATCAGGGCAAATACCTCTAACCAGTAAAAACATCCGAAAAACAATAGCAGTGATAAAGTAGAAAATAAAATCATGAGTATAAACAAAGTGAAGGTGTGAACCCAAACAAAGCCATCTTTTTGAAACATTTAGGGAGGGAACGCCTGGATGAAAAGGTGAGTTTTTAGATCATTTTTAAAGACCTCTACAGTGTTAGAGAGACGGAGATTTGAAGGTAGACTGTTCCAAAGTCTGGGTGCAATAGTCTGAAAGGCCCTGTCCCCTTTGGTTAGAACATCAGAAACAGAGTTCTCCTAGTTTTTCACTCTGCCCAAATCCTGACCAGTGTTTGTCTCAGCAGACCCAGCCCCAGAGCTGTGCTCAGCATCACCGCCACATCTGGCGGTGCACCTTTAGTTCCCTTTCAATAATAAAACATTTTTATTTTTCCTTACCTACGTCTCCTAGTGTGATTCTACATGGCTTGGGTCAGGAAACTCCCCACGATCATGACATTTTTCTTTTGGCTTAATTTTTAATCACTAAAAGCTTCTTTCTGGCGTTATTTCTCCTCTGGTCTTTTCAGTCCACAAACCTCAACAGCTACTTCACATCATCAGCAGGACATTTGATGCAGACATTCATTTTGTAGATGGCTGTGACTCAGTGAGTTGTGATTGGTACATACGTGTGTTACTTAACCTTTTTGAATTATTCTCATAATAAAACATCTGCAACAACATGCAGAGGTATGCCATAAAATTGGGCGTCAACACCTTCACGTCCTGTTTTTTATTCAATTCAAATTCATTAAAAACAATACCTGTGGCACATTTAGCTCAAAGAACAAAAATATTAAGATATAGTCTCTTAATGTGCATCTTTACTGTAAATCATTTTTTATTGTTTTAATCACCCACCATTGATGTTTAACCCTGAACATTTTGTGTGAACCCTGATATCTTATAAGTGCTTATTACCCTGTACATAATTACCAGTCTCTACAATGTGATTTATTTTGTGTTTAATAACAAGCATGGCAACAAAACAGCATAAGAACAATGCATGTTTATAAAAATATATCTGAAGATGTGTTTTCTTTAGAACACTTTACATTCATTTAACCTTCTACTCGAAATTAAACATGAATAAATAATAGCTTTACTGTAAAACCATGATGTAAAACAGCACTTTGACTTTAGCTGATTAATGTCGTTGAGGATCAGCTCACATCAGGAGAAACAAGTATAGTTTCAGTCAAAAGTTAACATAAACCCATTGATTGGATTAGTTTGAACCATTCAGAGTGAATCATTTACACTTTACTGCCTCGATTTTAAAAACAAGAATGAGGAGCAGAAGTTTGAACTCTTCCATCTTGGGTCAACATTTATAGGCTCAGTTCTATATGTATAACCACCAAAAGCATTTAATAAGTGACAGAAGATTAAAAATACCTTGACTGCCAGGCTAATTAAAATGTTTAGTGATCATGGTTATCTAACTCGTCATTTATTTTTATCAGTAAAACTATGATTTATGTAACAACCCTTTTTATATTGACCAATATTCATATGCCAATCTCAGATGATTACAAATGGCGCACTTTAGAGCAGTTAAAAATAAATAATGAAGTAATGTTGCTGTGCATTCTGGGAGGTAGTCCTAGACAAACAAGCATGCATTTTGCATGGGAGCCTATGGCTCTGAATCACCCCACTTGCCTCAAAATTGTATTTTTGGCTCGTAGCGATGTTCACATGGGAAGAAACTAAGCACTGGAGTTGGGGGTGGTGTAAACAGGAATCTAGAAACCGAGATCGGACGTCAGACGGAACATTATTTTATCGCTTTTCAAAGCCGGATAAGGTCCGCGAGATTACATGACACTGCAGGAAAAGTAACAGGCCAAGCTGGTGGCAGTATTTATGTGGAAAAGCAGACTTGGAATTTGGAGCAGATACCGTTTTTAAAAAGTTTTTAAAATCAAAATGAATAAAGGAGCAATGCATCGCCACAGGCTAAATACTCCCAGCTTGACCACAAGGACCAAATTGGTGTGCCACCCCAAAAATGTCTTTGGCCCTGTCTGGCCACTCTCATCAAAATGTTCTGTAGGCACCCTTGATGTAATGATAATGCTCATAGACGTGGTTGCCCAGGAGGCAGGGGTGTAAACGAAGGGTTCCAGCTGAACGTCTCGGCCAAACAGCATGTCCCTCCAAACGTGGAGAAAAATGGCTTTTGACCAGAGGTTGTATGTAAAAAGTAATGATACAAGTAATTATCTAGGAGTAAAAAAGTACTGTGAGTAATGAGTAACTGTTTAAGCATAAAAGTTTGAACTTTGTTCCTGTCAATTTTTGTTTACCACTGTAAAATCAGTGGCCGTGGAGAGGACGGTCTGGAGCTCCCTAGTTGAGATGCTGCCCCCGCGACCCGGACCCGGATCCGGATCCGGATCAGCTGAGGAAGACAACGGCCACTGTAAAATCGCTCTGGGCGTGTGTTTTTTTCAATTGGAAAATGTTTGTTTGTCTAGCGTTAGCACCCTGCAGCACCTGCACAGTGATGTGAACAGTAAAATACGCTATTGATAATGATGGTCAGGAACCACCAAGCCTGCCACGCATCCATTGAAGATGCTCCTGCTCCAAAAGAGACACCTTCATGTAGAAATCAAACCTGCAACCTCCCAAGGGGACAGGCTATGTCTTCTGGTGAAAAGTTTTATTTCAAACGTAAAAACCAACTGTCGAGCATGGTGGTGGTAGTATCATGGTGGGGCATAGAAAAATAAGACCGCCTGTAAATTATACATCTTCACCTCATCATCAGTTAAATGGTAACAACTTGGACATGTCTGGATTTCCTGATAGGACAATGATCCTCAACACACATCAGAACTGGTTTCTCACTGGATAAATTATGTAAATGTAGAGATTCAGGAATGTTTTTTCATGTTTTTTTATGGGGTAATGTGTGAATGTTGCTTTAAAACCTAATTTGTTTCAGGAATCTAACTAATCTAAATGAACTCTTGTCAAAGCTGCCAAGAACAGTGATGAAATATCAACTATTATACCAGAAGCTTGTTAAAGGATAACAAAAACTGGTCAAAGTGCTAAAAATACATTTACCCAAACAGTGAGTGTTTCTTAAATTAGAGCCTATATATACACCTTTGAATAAAATCAAACTTGTGCACTACATTCTTGTTATTAAAAGTTATTGAGTCTGTTTAGTCTAACATTAATATGACATTGTGATGCATGACAACATTTAATTAGAACAACCTGAGATGTTCTCAAGTTGAGTTGGTACTTGCTTGTTAAGTTTGTGTTGATCATTTTTCACCTCTTTGACGCTGACATCTGCCCTCTTTTATGGACAAAACCTCCAGGTAATCCAAAAATCCCATAGACCATCAAATTATTATTTTGTGATAAAACCAAAGAACATTTCTTCACGTGACATCATCTTCTAGTGTAACTGAGCTTGTGGCAGTACTTTTTCATGATGCTGTTTCAAACAAGAACAATGTATGCTTGTGAAAACAGATACATCGCTTCTGCTTTATTCCGTGAAACGTCACCATCCCGACCACTACCCAGTAGTGATGATACACTATACAAGAGTGAAGCTAGACATGATGAATAACTGAGATCTCAGTTTCTGTGTTTGAGTAAAAGAAGAAGACCTATGGCAATGTCTTTTAAACCGCTTGAGTCCTGAATGCAGACAGCCTTTTGTTATAATTTGTCTGAGTGGGTTTAAGGAGGCTGTCCTCACAGCAGTGGAGCAGAGAAGAACCATAGAGATGTTCAGTATCCAGCTGGGTGGCCTCCTTTTCTGGGGTCAGACTCAGCACAGAGTTGATCTCCCTGTCGGACGACAGCCTGGACAACAGAATCTGGAGTCCTCAGCAGCTGTGTTACATGATTCTTCTGGGCCAACCCCTCCAAGACACTCTGCCATGAACATGTTGCTCAAATCAGACGTGAGCACATAAGATCTGACACATGACATGATGGGTCTCGTCATTTTTCATCATGCAACACCAGAAAACATCTTAGTTATCTTTTGTTTTTTAAAATGTGCTAAGATGTGTTTGTCAATCTAGCAGCATCTGAAGGTTTGTTGGTCTAAAACAGGGGAAGGCAATAATTGTCTTCGACTGCTGTTATCCAGCATGTCTTAGTTGTCTCCCTGCTTCAACACACCTGATTCATTGGTTGAATCACCTGTTCACCAGCTCACCAAGCTCTGAGAAGTCTATTAATCTCCTACTGATGAAAATCAGGTGTTGGAACAGGGAAAAAACTGAAACATGATGGATGGTGACTATCCCTGAAACCTGTTATTTTATTGGTCCTAGCCACTCAGAGCAGTCCGTGTAGTTGCCTGCTGCTCTGGTAAACTGCTGTTTAACCACACATTCCAAGCACACAAGTTTATGCATTGCTCACCATTTCAAAGCCCTGCTCGACGACCGTCATGTTGGGGTTGAGTTGGTTGTGAACTCGTGGCTCCATCACAGCTTTCTTTAGGTCGTAGTTGAAGAACAAAGAGTTCAAGATAACCTGTTTTTAGCCAGAAAATGGAATTTCAGTTTCACAAACGGATTAGAGGTAATCTACAAGAAACATAACTCATTTACCAAAGCAGTGGCTGTGGTGATTTTTGTACCTCCAGACGCTCCTACAACCATTTTCACTTTGTTTTCTTTGTCAAAGATGATTGTGGGGCACATGGAAGACAGAGGTCTTTTGCCTGCAGAAGAACAACAGTGACCGGTTATGGAAAACATTTGTTATGATTTAATTAGAGAATTTAGCTCTAAAAAAATGCAAAATTTATGCACCTATTTCTAAGAGCTCCACCTCTTTAACACTATTAGTACATCCTCAAAAACCTGCTGCAAAGAATACTAACTGTGCATTATGCCCTCTGGTGGAGAATCTCAGTACAAGTGGCAAGCTCTAATTTTATTTTTAACACCATAATATTAGTTGGAAAACTCATTAAACGGGTATTAGCAAGACTAAGACTTTTTTTTATTGTAGAAGTTTAAATTAACATCATAATTAAGTCCAACCACCTGGTTGGATGAAGTTGTTGGGTGAGGGTGGGATTCCAAATCCATTGGTCATGTATGGAGAGCTGAAGTCATCCATCTCATCATTGAAAATTATTCCAGTGGACCGAGACATGACTTTGGACCCAAAGCTGTGGAAAAAAAAACCTTTTGAGCTGATACTTTGCAAAGTGTTCATATTAGTTCAAATGTTTTAGATATGTCCACCAAACCAAATCAAGAGTCTCACTATAGGTTAATTGTGCTGGTGGCGGCGACAGCACTCCCATCTTCCGCTATGACAGATAAGTGAGCTGTGCCGTGGTTGTCCATGACAAAGTATTCAGGCTCGTAGTAGCTGTCTGGATGGGTGGTGTCATCTGTAATTTTACTCCTTATGCCATCAGCGAAGTAGTCTGAAGTCATGTTTTGGATCAGCTGATGGGTTGCAAAACAGGATGACAGGATGAGGAAAACCCAGTGTGATGCGTTTAAACATGTTTTTACCCCAGGTTCCCCTTTCAGTGGCTAGCAGTGAATACTCTGATTACAATGAGGACAATAAAACTGAAAAAGGTTCATAAAAGACCTGAGGATAATGAGAAAAAGAGCTTGAACTCTTACATCAGTGATGTTCAAATACCGTGGGTCCCCCAGTCTGCTTCTCTTTGCATAAGCGAAACGAAAAGCCTCCACAATACGATGGTACGTCAGAGTCTTTTTCTCCACTGTAGAGACACTCGTGTCTGTGAAGTTGTACCCTGCAACATATCCACAAGAAGAACATGTCTGGAGTCAAATGGACACTTTGGATTCATGCTCATATCTTGAAGCAGATATAAATTTCTGGTATGTCAGTCAAAGTTTGATTTGAACAGATCAGTGAAATAATGCTTTGTGTTTATTTTAATGACGGTACAGATTTGGGATTCTCTGCTACAACAGATGGAGTAGTGAGCATGAATAAAAATCTGACAAGCAAAAGGTTTTCGACTCCCAAAACTGGCAGGGAACCGTTCCAGGAACGACCTGAGGAGACCTGACATCCTTTCCTCTGCATGACTGCCCAAACACTCAGCCAGGCTGCTCACCATCCACTATGTTGAGTATAAGTGCCAACACTGGGCCGCTGGAGGGTGCGTCTGGGACATGGATGGTGTATTCTCCAATACTCAGGCTCGGAGGGTTCTCATTCAAAACCGGCTGGTACTCCAACAAATCACCAAGGGTTATAATGCCACCTGAAACACAAACAGAGCCACTAAAGTAAACAGAAGAAAGGACTTATCATATTACACATTACAGCTTATTGTGGAATCTATCTTATTTTAATTTCTGTTTCATTTCTAAATCTATCAATTCTTCTATTTCTATAAAAACGAAGTGTCAGCACACCTGCTGCCTGGATGTCCTCAACGATGCTCTGTGCCATTGTTCCATTGTAAAAAACATCAGGCCCCTCCTCGGCTATTCTCTGGTAGGTGTCAGCCAGCTTTGGGAATCTAACAATATCATTTTCTTTCAGGATTCTCTTTTGAGAGTCGCAAAACACCTCACTGAAAGATTGTAAAAGAAAATAGTTAAAAACAACAAAGCATGAGGTTGCCTGAATGTGTTTAACTCTGCAAACAAAGCTGCAAAGAATGAAAGCTCCTGGATACAAACAAGTTCTCTGAACAGCAGAGACAAGGGTGCTGAAAGGAAAGCAATGAAAGATGCAGTCCTGTATAAACAGCTCCAAATAAAAATTAATTAAATGCAAAACAAGGACATTGTGCAAAATGTTAAAGGAGTAGTTTACTTGTTTAATCAATAAGTGGTCTCTAGTAGGAATGAACGCCTAAACTAGCCAAGGCGTTCACTGCTGATTCCCGCATGTTAAACCAACAGCAGTCTTCCCCGTCATGAATCAAGATGGATGAGACCATGAATGCTAATTCACAGTGGGACGTACCTAGATATATGAAGATTTTCAAATCCTAGACTTTCACTGTTTATTTTCTATCAGAAGCTGGTGCAGGAGATAGGTGTAGGAGACTATTTACATGTTCAGCCTGCATGAAAAACTCAGAGTGATCCATTAAAATCAGAAAAAACATAAAAAATATTTTTTTGCAGTAAAATACACCATCAATTTTTTAATTGTATTTTATTTTATTTTACTTTATTTTATTTTATTTTATTTTGTCATGTATTTCTTTATACATAGAATCAACTTCTCATGACTCTGATTTCTCCTGGGGGAAATGAAAAAAGGCTTCAAATTAATGCAAGAATGCACATTGAACACTGCTTTTCAATTCAGACCATCTTTAAAAATTATGTCTGTCACATTTTGAAAAGTTCTGCATTGTACAATTGCAAGAGTTACCATGCATATAGACAAATATTTACGCTACAACATGACATTGTAGCTGGATGCCGGTTAAACTGCATTTTTTCTGCAGCTGGCAATGAAAAGCAACATGTTCAAACAGGTAGTTCAGATCTTTTCAAGTATTTCTTTTAAACAGTTTTGAACAATTAATATCTTACCTGTAAGCATGGATAGCTCTGTGAACAGCAACAGTTTGGAAAAGCAGAGACCAGATCTGATTAGACGTACAAGCTGACAGGCACAGGACCAACCATTAAGTTTTCCTGCTATCTTGTAACAACACTAATCTCACAATTTTCACAGCAGTTTATGCAGTTTTAAGTTATTTTTAAATGTCATATTACATTGAGTTTTGTTGTTTACAGTGGTAGTTAGCTGCAAAGCTACTGTAGCCCTTCTAGCTATACCTGAACACCCATGACATGTGAAAGGCATAACAATGTACAAGTCTGAAATTGAATTTGCATAAAGTTATGTTAAATGTTTGAGACACTGTGCTGCTGTTTTCATTATGATACGCAAGAAAGCTAAAAGTAAGCTATTAATTCTTCATAAGTATTTGTCTAATAACTTTAAAAAATAATAAAAACTAGTAAAATTATTGTATTAACAGTCCTTTAAATTTTTTACCTTAACAAACCATTGAAAATATCCTTTTTATATAGATATGATGTGGGAAGTTTCAGACAACGTATTTGCTTATTTGTTTATTTTCTGGAGAAGATGGAGGTCAAAAAGCACAAGATAAAATCAAAAACTGGCTATCTTGCAATCTTGATCAATCAAACATTTTATAAAACCTTGATTCAAGGACAGAAAGCTAAATGCTAAAGGAGGCTAGCTAAATGAAAAATAACAAGAAGATTTGGGCAAGGAAAGAAACAAGTAAGAAATTGTTTATAGATCTCTAGTTGCAGGGTCTGCAGAAGGTTTTCTGCATTACAAGTACTGTTTAATGCTTTTTGCCTCTTCTACAGTAGCTACCTCTGACTACAGCTTCATCTCTGACACAATAAAGGGTTCTTGCTGTTAGTTACCACCTCTAGATATCAAGAAGAAGGTGAGGAAATTGTTTCCTCAGACATGAAACCATTTCTTCTGGTGCGAGTTGCCTGATAAGACATGGTCAGAAGAGCAGCAATTTAAAAGTTTAAAAATGTATATTTTTGGATTTTTGTACAGATGTTTAATTGTTTTACAAATAATAAATAATTGTGTTTGATAATTTGTGGAGAATCATTTGTTAAAAAAATATTAAATCCTCACCACATGTTAGCATCTCCTTGAATAGAGTCTTTACTCTTGAAGATGGCATGAGCCAAGGCTTTCCCAATGGGAAAACCATCCCGGGCTAAAGCAATGCTGGGCTCAAACAGTTCCTTCCACGGAAGCCTGCCATGTCTTTTGTGTGCCATCTCATAACCACGGATCTCCCCAGGGATTGCTATGGACAATCCACCTGTAGCGTGGAAACAAAAACAGTATTGTTTGGAACATTGTGTGTATTCTGCTTTATATTACATGAAGGACGAGTGTAACATCAAGGCATTCTGATCCAACAACCAAGGCTGGTACCTGCTGCATCGTTTTAATCGTTTCATCAGATAACAAAAAGGATGTTAAATGGGGTAGAAACAATTTTGGAGACGGAATGAAAGCATAAAACAAGGGCCACCAACACAAGTGGCGGGCGACTGTGGCACAGGAGTTAAGTGCTCGCCCCGTAATCGGAAGGTTGCAGGTTCGAGCCCCGCTCAGTCTGTCGCTGTCGTTGTGTCCTTGGGCAAGACACTTAACCCACGTTGCCTGCTGGTGGTGGTCGGAGGGACCGGTGGCGCCAGTGCTCGGCAGCCTCGCCTCTGTCAGTGCGCCCCAGGGCAGCTGTGGCTACATCGTAGCTCATCACCATCAGTGTGTGAATGTGTGTGTGAATGGGTGAAAAACTGATTGTGTTGTAAAGCGCCTTGGGGGGTTCCAGGACTCTAGAAGGTGCTATATCAAATACAGGCCATTTACCATTTACCATTTACAAGTCCTTGAGGGCTACCATCCTTCAAAAATTTGCCTTTTCTTTTTTCCCAACACACCTAATCCAAATGAAGAAGGGGTTAACAGGCTTCTGCAGAACGCAGCTTGGTGAGGAGGTGATTAAACTAGTGACGTTTCCGAAGTGTCAACACTTCGAAGCGTGTGTCGGGTATCCAGGAAGATTTTTTTGTGATGCGTGCACCGAGGCTTGTGTTGATTACGTAAGCAGTGACGTTCAAGGCCTTGTTGCAGTCCGTACCATGCGAGTATATCAGGAACTGGCTCGCCGGTTTGCTCCGGATTTGAAATAAAAGGGGCAGCCGTCACATTGTGCTGTTGAAACCCTAAGTCCTGTTAGTTTCCTTTCTCTTTTGGTCCAGACACTGTATTAAAAGGACAGTTTAAGACAATATTAAGTATATATTGCCATCATAAACATTTATTTTCCAGTTTAAAGGTTTACAGTTTTACTTGACATATCCACTTGATGGCACAACATTGCAAATGAACCATCATGGTGCCTCGAATCAAGAGTCGACCAGTTGGATGGAAAGCTTCAGCTCATCACGAGGCTTCATCTCGCCATCACTAGATTAAACCATTAAAACATGCAGGATGGTGAACTTAAGGCCTGGAGTTGGTAACCGTTGGCTTAAAGGTTAAAGCATCTCTTCACAATGAATCATCCATTATGTAATAGAGTAGCAGGAGCAGATTAAGGGATCGAACAAAGTTCAAGGCATGTTTCCACTTTAAGATCTAGAATATTTGTACATCTAACTTTATTACAGCCTTGGTTTGTTGCATTTCGTCTATGATCCGAGCTACAAGGTACAAAGTGTTGATATTTGTCAGACAGCAGAGTCACCTCAGTTCTCTCTCCATATAATGGATGGTCAGTGGGAACACTGGGGATACTTAACCAATTAGAAGTTTGGAGTGTTCCTCCGGCACATCCATTTCAGTTCATTTCAAAGGTATCACCTCATTAACCGAACTGTTTTATGATAAAAACTACCCTGGTTCATGTAGTAGAAACACTCGGGGTAGAAAATGGATCCCAAAAACTAGCCTGGCTTGTCCCTGAAATGCAAATGTTCTCTTAGATCAGTGTAAAGGCTGTCTGTTAATACCTGTACGAGAAAGCTTGGTGTTGTTGCCAAACATATCCTCAGAGGCGTTAGTGGGGGCTGTTTCCCTCGCATCAATGGTCTCCACATTCCCTGTTAGCACAAAGCACACACTGGTAGATCTTCTTCTCCGGATAATTTCCATGTGAAAATCTAACCAATAACTCCCACTCACCTGTGGAAGCATTATATATAATAAAGTAGAGGCCTCCCCCGATGCCCATACTGTGAGCGTTCAAAAGGCCAACACATAGCAAGGCAGCAATAGAAGCATCCACCGCTGAGCCGTTTTTCTTCAGAATGTCCCTTCAAACATGAGAATGCACTTAACAGGCAGGGAGCACACACAAGAACAAAGTGAGCAGTCTGTGTCATCTTACCTCCCCACTTCCGAACACTTTCCAGCATCAGCGGCCACTGCAGCCTTTGAGTAGAAATAGTCCGAAGGGGGAGGTATGTTTTTCCTCCCCAAGCCCATGAACACTCCTAGGAACAGGCTCACTGCAGCCACTAGAAGGACCACCAGACCAGCAATCAGGGACTTCCCAACCATTTTCCTGCCGAGGAGAAACCCGCATGTCTTGTATTCAAACAGGATCCTTCGGCTGGCGCAGCACTCCTTCCATTATCGAAACAGCAACCAAAAGTTTTCATTTTTACTCAAAAGTCTTGGAAAATCACCCACCTTTATGTGTAGTTTTATAACAGACTGGTTGAAAATATTGGATGAAATAGAAACTTTACTGTAGCGTACAGTCGGCCTCTGAGTGTGAGCAGTAATGTTAGGGTGCTAAAGATGACTAACTGCAGTAGACATTGGTATTTCAGGTGTTTGTTAATAAGTAACGTCCTTTGACACTGCTGAACACCGTTACTTGGTTAATCAGAAATGCCATTTTCTCTTCAAGTTATCCTGCAGGTTTTCTGCAGTTTAAAGGCAAAAGGAAAATTTGCAGTGCTTATTGTGTATTTATATTATGTTATGCGTTCTTCAGGTAATGGACGCTTCTTTTTCTTTACTTTAGAGGAAAACTCTTGATGTAAATCTTACCATCCTGAAGCTGAGAGTGATTTGAATTTGTTATTTTTTTCTGCAGATGTCCTCAGACCTTCTGAGACACCTAAGGTTTCACTGAGGAGGTCAGTGTCTGTGGCTTCACCGCAGCAGGTATTCTTCCAGCCTGCTCATCTGTTGCTGGGCTACACTGATGGGGCTCTGTCAAAGGAGCCTGTGGTTTGCTGGTACTGCTCCTGCTGTGATTGTGTCTAAATTTAATTACAATCGTGTTCTGGATCTCCCAGGTTCAGAGCCACCCGGAGGAGGGGAGTTAATTCTGTAGTCACTGCTGATTTGTAGCAGGAAAAGCACAATGTTGTTTCAGATTGAGGCAGATCACAAAAGCCCTCTTTCACCATCTGTGCACATGTCGCTAACACTGGATGGAGGCTGTTTATTAAATCTCAACAAGCTTAGTCATAGTTTTTATTCCCTGGGCAGATGCTTATACTGTAGGTTTGATTTGGACGAGGGACACACTCAAGCCACCAGCCGTGTTTTTTCTACCCAGTTGTACTGGTACAATAAAGAGAATGAGATTTCTATTCTTGTACGTGTAGCAAATGAAATCATTGGTCGCTGTTGTTCAGTTACAGGTGAAATGTAGCCAGCAAAAGCACCAATGACAGATAACCACAGGGGACAAAGAAGGTGAAGTCGTCTGTTTTTATGGGCAGCTGTAGTAATTTTAATAATAAGAGTTCCATAGGCATAGCCTGGCAAGCCAGATTAAATAAATGTATTATTTAGTCTGGAAACGCTCCATTGACGGCTCTCGGTTGTGGGGCGGGTTCTACCGTTGTCTTTCAAATGATCTCCGCATGCTACTGGACAATGAATGTGACGTACTCTTGTTTCACTCTGTTGCATCATCCCACCCACCAGGCATATAGAGTGCCCTGATTGGCCCACAAAGCGGATAAAGCTCTGTGATTTGTTCACTAAGCAGATAGAGCACTATGATTGGCCCACCATGATGGACCAATCACAGCTCTTTATGTGTTTGAAACCCCTCTAGAGAGCTGTGATTGGCCAGCCAGAGTCCTGGTAGGAGCTGCGGAGGTTCCAATGGAGCATGCCTAGACCATTCTTTGCAAAGCAAGAATTTGGTCTAGTTCACTAGGCTACCATAGGCATATACCTTGATGCATTTTGTTGTCATGAGTTGATGACTCAGCATCTTTTTTCTCTGCAGTAATGGACAGATGTGTTTTCAGATCTATTTTTCTGGCTGAAGGAAGAGAATAAATTCAGTAGCATTAACTCAAACACTTTCTTGTGTTTTTTTGTTTGTTTATGATTTCATCTAACCTAAAAGAGTAACGTCCTTAGCTTTGGTAACCGCTGATGGATAAAAGTGCAACAGAGGCCAGAGTCAAACTGAGGCCACTGCTGCTCATGCTCAGCCACCTAATCTCTGTAAACAACTGGGACATGCAAATTGTGTGAATGTTTTGCTGCATCGTTGTCCTGTTCTGCATGATTTGTTTGCATTCAGGCTGCTTGTTTCTCAACTTCTTTTCAGTATTTCCTGGTAATGCATTAATATTTCTGAACCTATTGTTCAATGGGCTTTGTAAATGCTGCAAAGAGAACACAGTAGAAAAATGGCCTGTTAGTGCAAACATATGAGTATTTGAGTAATAAAAGCAAAGGTAAAATATCATTGTGTTTTTGGCCCAAGTTCCAAGAAATTTAAACTAGTAATTTTTTGACTGTTCAATTACTGTCTTTTATTTCCAAACACACTGTTCTACTCAGGCAAAAACCTTTGCCCATTCATCTGCTTTCTGTTGTATCCTTTTCTGTGTCACAGGGAGCTGGTGACCATTGGGTGACAGGAGTTGCTCACTCTGGTCAGGTCACTATCCACCAGAGACCTACAATGCATGCACACACTGATGGCTATGGCCATTTAAGGCTCATCATGTAGTCTGCTTTGTTTTTGGTTTATAAGAAAACTTGAGTAATGGAAGAAAAACACACTGTTCAGACAAAAAATAAAGTCACCCATTGTGTTTAACCAAGCAAATAGGTACAAGCTTCCTATTGGATAATTACTGCATCTTATCTTTCAGCTGGCAACAAATTATTTAACCCCAGCTGCTGCAATGAGCTGCTTCACATTTCTTAAACAAACATGTGGGAAGGCACATCTGATGGTCGTGGAAAAGATGTTAGTGTGTTTAAGAAGGGTCAGATCATTGGCACCAAGAAGAGAAAACATCTAAGGAGATGCAGAAACCACTAAAACTGGGTTAAGAACTGTCCAACACTTTATTAAAAATGATCTGATGAGTCCAGATGGACCCTGTTCCAGAGTGATGGTGCATCAGGGTAAGAAGAGAGGTGGATGAAGTGATGCACCCATCATGCCTAATGCCTATTGTACACACCTGTGGTGGCAGTATTATGATCTGGGGTTGCTGCAGTTGGTCAGGTCTAGGTTCAGCAACAGGATGTGCTCCAAGAATGAGGTCAGCTGACTACCTGAATATCCTGAATGACCAGGTTATTCCATCTTCCCTGACGGCACGGGCATATTCCAAGATGACAATGCCAGGATTCATCAGGCTCAGATAGTGAAAGAGTGGTTTAGGGAGCATGAGACATCATTTTCACACATGGATCGGCCACCACAGAGTCCAGACCTTAACCACATTGAGAATCTTTGGGATGTGCTGGAGAAGGATTTGTGCAGCGGTCAGACTCTACCATCATCAGTGCAAGATCTTGGTGAAACATTAATGCAACACTGGATGGAAATAAATCTGGTGACATTGCAGAAGCTTTTTGAAACAATGTCACAGTGAATGTGTGACATAATCAAAGTTAAAGACAGTCCAACGAAATAGTGATGTGTGACCTTTTCCTTTTATGGTGATTTTTTTTTTTTTGGCTGGGCAGTGTAATACAGCAACTAAGTGATCATCTGTGAGGGAAGACTGTGGTTGAGTTTCAAATACAGAACCCTCTTACTGCGAGACAACTAGTCCTGATTTCAGCCCTCTTACACCCTGGATCAGTTTGGGCACTCATATCTATGCCAGTGAACTTGAAATAGTCTTGAAGCCAAGTTATAATAATAACCCCCGGGGCGACCATCTTTGCCTCTCGAGGGGGCCGGGGGCCTTTCTGGTTGCAGTCCCCTTGGGGTTCCTGTATTCTGGGGCAGCGCCTGGATCTCTGGGACTTGGAGCTCCCCCCGTCTCCTACGCATCTTTGCGGACAGGTCTGTGGTCCCTCACACTCTCTATTGGACGCTCCTATAGAGAAACCTTACATAAACAAGCGCGTGTACACACACAGGTGCTCACATGGTGCTCTCAAAAGTATGGGCTTGGGCACGTTCAACACATGTCTTAAGGCTGTCGTTGCCACTAAATGCACTGTGATTTATTATCGTGTGATTGTTCAGTTAAACAATGTTGATTTTATATTTCATCATCACGTTGACGCAGTGATAGCTTACTCCTGATGTATTGTTGTGTGTCCCATTTTTTCTGCTCTTCTCTTTCTGCAGGTCTAGAAGCAGACTCTTGTTCATTATTGTTTATTTTTGTGGAACCCCCCCCCCTCTCTCTCTCTCTTCCCACCATTTGTCTTTTCCTTTCTCTTTCACCTCTGTCTCCGTGTCTTGTCAGAATTACAAAGCATTCAAAAACAATAACAATAAAATTTGAAGTATCAGGCGTGACATTTAAAGCAGATGCTTTGATGCTCCACCTGAGAATAAATCTGTAAGGCTTGTTGCCAGCATTCAGACCTCAATTCTGCTTGCTTCACAGCCAGACAGGACACGGTTAAAAAAAAAACTTGAAATAGTCTTGAAGCCAAGTTATAATAATAACAATAATAACAACAACAACAACTATAATAACAGTATTTTAAGAACAGTTTGGAATATGTAATTTTATTAGATCTGCTTAGATTATTATAGATAGAACCACACAAATTATTAGGGACCATCAGACATTTAATTTTTTGGGGAAGTGAACAGAAGAGACCGTTGTTGGGGAGGCAATGCAGCCAGAAGAAACAACTATTAAAGAGAGAGAGCTGAAGAAGGAATCATAACAAGGTCAAATCAGGATCAAAGTCCTTCAAGGCAAAAGGGCAGGAGAATGATTTAGGCGAGGGTGAGATGACACAAGCTGTCTATTTTGTCATGGGAATCACCTGCAGACCCTTCTTTATTTGCCCCTCGTTGGACCCTTGAAATAGACACAAAACTGTAGGGTAGATGTTTCTCAAAGAGCATATGTAGATGTAAACAAGGGTTGACAGCTTGTCTGTTGACTGTCAACAAAAGAGAAATTCATAAAGACATTGGGAACACATTTGAGCAGCTGGAGATTAAAGAAGACAGGTGTGATTTAGATATGTTGCAGGATGATTTTTTTACCTTCCTCAGACAAAATAGACCCTGAAGTGAAAAATTAACAAATGAGCATCTGTAATTTGTCATTTTTATCTCCACAATAAAATTGGTTTGTCTCATTTTCACTATACAATCATATTGGAAATAACAGAGTGATCACTATTTTTATTTATACAACATATTCTAAAACAAAACATATATAAAATTAAAAAATATAAAGTTAAATGTCAATAACTGGATCAAGAAAAATAGCATTACAGAAAAACAGACCTAAATCCGACATTTGGATTTGAACAAGGAAGGCAGCTGTAGTCGTGTGCTGGTTTTGCTGTTAAGTACAGAAAATGTTACAAGCTGAATTTTTCCATCTCCAGAGGTAGGTACTAAATAGGCCATTTACTATTCGTGGCAGTCTAAATTCGCTATTTGTTTAAACACTTGAGGCCTATAAGTGTTAGATGTTGCTTTATTATTCAGATTAGATTGTGCAGCATGCTCCAGTGATCTATAACAGGATTATTTAAACTGAATAATAAAACTGTTTATTCTTTTACAATCGGCGCCCCATACAAACGCTCTGAAGGGAGAGACAATCAGAGGACCTTCGCAGGTGTTCCACATCGATCTCATGGGATATTAAAATTTCACACTGACAATCCTAATTATTTCCTTCTGCCGTGGAGCTACTCTGAAGATTTCCATCTCTGGGAGGAGAGACGCGCAGCATGCTCCAAGCGCTGTGATTGGTCAGACGCTTCACGTTACACGAAACAAAACAGCAGCGTACAGTAGAGACGGGCGGGGGGCGAAGCGTCAGGATCCTCATCGTGATGAGCATCGCAGGGACACAAACATCCAAAGTGTGACCGATGCGTGAGAAAGTGGGGATTGATTTGGTTGTTAGGGCTGAAGCTGGTGAGTGTTTCTGCACCGGATCCACCGAGTCAAGCAACAACGCGGCGTCAGACGGCGACGCCGTTTTCCAACATCCACCGAGCAGCATCACTGGCGGCGGGAGAAATTCACAAACAGGGGCTGGTCATGGGCTTGTACTTTTGGTAACACAGCATCATAAACAATCTCGCCGTCCACCATGGGTTCCAGACTGAGCAGGCAGGGCAGCCTGGACAACGAGAATTTCTCCAAGAAGCAACGCAAGCCCCTGGATAGCACCGGACAGAGCGGCAGGGGCGGAGGGGACTTTCTGTTTGCACTGATGCTGAAATCCGACAAACTACCTGGGATGCTGCGGAAGAGCAACCACAGCCCCTACGTGAGGAGAGTGGCGTGGATCAAGGAGATCCAGAAGCTGCTCCGTGAACGCAGAATGGAGCAGGCGACAGACGTGCTCAAACTACTGAGGAAGGTGAGGTGGGAGCTGCAGGCAGGGGAGCATAAAGTCGGAGAAGTGTGTGTGTGTGTGTGTGTGTGTGTGTGTGTGTGTGTGTGTGTGTGTGTGTGTGTGTGTGTGTGTGTGTGCAGAGGCCGTTTTACCATTAGGCATAGGTAGGCGGCCGCCCGGGGCCCCCTTGTGTTGGGGGGCCTCCTAGCCCTAACCGCCGGCACCCCTCTGTTAATGCCACAATATTCTTATTACCAACCTGTCGCTGCAGACGGCATTGGACATGCTTCTCGTTACCATAATGCCTGAACCGTTCAAGATATTAAAATTCCAAAAGTGCTGAAAAGATTAAAAATGGGGCTTTTCGTGCATATACAATACATTACGGTAGCCACCGGGATTCCCTGTCTTGAGCGCAACGAATCACAATTCAGAGACGTGCTGAGTTTGTCATCCAGAATGCTCCGTTTTATAACTTTTGAATGGCTGATCAGATTCAAAAAATCCCAACGGTTCCTAAAAGTACATAAAAAACAGCTTTCTAACGATCTATAGCATGAAGCAATCAGAGTTAGGGAAAATATTGCTACGAGGGGAAATCTTGCTGTACAGCCTGATTGAAACGGAGAGCAGCGCCGCGGTGAAAGCGGATAACGGAACGGGGAAGCTAATTAGCATAAAAAGCCTGCATGAAATTATGGAAATGCCTCAAAGAAAATCAACACAATCTATTAGGTGTCCCAAAAGTATGGCGTTTAAAGCGTGCCACAACCCGTGCACGCGCATTGGGTCCACAGCGCGCGTGTGAACGGGACTCGCGAGCGAAAATACACATGGCAGCGCACGCGTGAACGGGACTCGCGAGCGAAAATATACATGGCGAGAGGTCATTTGTGCACTGAGAGGGAGCAAACTGTGTCTGTGAGCGCACAAGGATGTGCACAAGTGACAAACCTGCGTGCGCGCGTTGCCAACGAGCACACGGCAGAGGAAAACGTGCGCGCGCGGCAGCCTCTCTGCGCGCTCGGCAGCCTCTGCGCGCTCGGCAGCCTCTGCGCGCTCGGTTTCTAATTCCGCTCGCTCGGCTGTGAGGAGTTTTGGCACTCTGGAGGCGTGGCCTGTGGCAGATCTTCCCTGTCCTCTGAGTGGTTAGTTTACCCCGCACTTTACTCTCTACCTATCTATATAAAAAAATCTGAGATTCAGCAGTTGCTGTCATAGCTCAGCTGGGAGAGCGGGTGACTCTCACTCTGGAGGATCCAGGTTCGAATCCGGCCAAGGAACATAGAGTTGATGTCATAATATTCTTTCCTAATTCCTGCGATATTATTTTACAGTTGTGACCGTTCAACTGTCATTAAACGTCCGAATGTTTGCTGGGCAGTGTTTTAAAAAGTGCACATAAGCTAGATGGTTTTGCAGGTAAAAATAGACTTGTGGGTGTAGGTATGTTCAAGTTTAAAAAGTTCTTGCCTCATTAATGTATTGCTTATTTTTTTCAGCATTTAATTGACAAATTATCCTTTCAAATAATTAATTGATGAGTTACGCAATTGTCCATTTAGAATTGTTGAATGGACTGAGTCAAGTTTGGTGCACTTTATATATTTCAAAACATGTTTTTTTTAATTATGCATATAAATAATTTTAATGTTAATTTATTGAAAATTTCTATTTTTTCATTACCTCACCCTTGTTTTGACAAAAACAAGACCTTGCTGGATAATATCACGGAGAAACTATTTGTTCACAGTACATGGCTCAGTGAGGATCTGTGTACCAAAGGAGGAGATACTCAGAAATCTGTCTGCAGATTGTTACAACCCAGACTGGAAGTGGTGGGCTGTAATAAGAAAGGAGACCAAACAGAGGAGTGGGGGGTTCAACAACTGATTTATTTAACCAAAGTAAGGATTTACTAAACTGGACCCAATGCGCGTGCACGGGTTGTGGCACGGGTCTGACGCGATACAAAAGACTTATATCTGAAGTCAGTGACCACGAAGGACAGATCTCCAGTGAACCAGGGTATGAATGTTTGTTGAGTATTTATTTTTTTATTTGAACAACCCTCAACTATTTGCTAATTGTAAGATTCAGCTTCATTCCAGCATTATTTATCTTTTTACAATAAATAATTACATTTGCTAACACAAAAATTTTTGGTATAGCAGTGCACGGTGTGCCAGAGAAGCACCCCATGGCGGTATGAGGTGTGCAGGACTCTGCCTGCAGCTGGAGAGAAACTGCTTAAAGGTCTACCACATCAAATAAAAACGTCTGAAAGTTTACAAAAATAAATGGTCTTAAAACTGCTAAAAATGATACCAAGGTTCACACTTTTTAAAGAATAGATGCATTATAGTTCAAAGTTTAAATTGTTCATTCCAAATTGTTTGCCCCAAGTCATTTTGAAGTTCCTGTTCAGTAATAACTGTAAAAAATTCAAATCTGTTTTTTTGGTTTTTTCACTTTTAAGCTGATTTTTAAAGGCTTTAATAGAAATACATTCTAAATACAAACCATACACTGAAAGCTGAGGTTGTTCTGAAAAAAGAAGAGTTACACACACTTTGTACTTTTTATTACAATTTTACAACCACAAGATTAAAAAAATACCAGGCAGCCCTGTTATAATTATGGTCATAAGAGGGTTATTAAGATGGCGATGCACAAACAGGAAGTGATTAGTAGTCATTCCACTCCAATCCAGTTGGTGGCGGTAATGCACCAAATGGTTTGTTGCCAAGTGCCATAAGACCACAAATAAGAAGAAGAAGAAGAGAGGCAGGAGCATTTGTAACAAACTCAAAGCGATAGTCAAAACTAAGCATGAAATGGAGTTATCCTAGTGGCTCCAATAACAGAAAAAAGCTGCTTGCTTCATAAAAGCTTTTATTTTCACTTCTGAAAGTGACGTCGTTTTTCTATGTATTCATCAAAAGGAAGCAGAAAGGAAAGACAATGGAAAATGTTCAAAGAGAGGAAAACAAACCAAAATAGAAAATAGAAAAAAATAACGAAGGCAAAAGCACAGGAACACTGACAGGAAAAAAAAAGCAGAGCAAATATTGAAAGCGCTCAAAGGGAGGGAAATACAGGAAAAAAGAGGAGGACTAATAAAAAGGGAAAATAACTCATGTCAGAAGAGGGGAGAGTTTCGCAAATCCAGTTAAAGGTAAGATTGTTGAAAATTTTGTGTAAGGGGCCCCATGTCTGTGTTCGCCTTGGGCCCCCATATTTCTAAATCCGCCTCTGTCTGTCTGTCTGTGTGTGTGTGTGTGTGTGTGTGTGTGTGTGTGTGTGTGTGTGTGTGTGTGTGTGTGTGTGTGTGTGTGTGTGCGCGCTTAATTCTGCATAAGCCCCTAGAGCAACAGATGAGCACTAATGTATTTTGTTATGTGTAGGCTCTCCTCCTTGTCCTCTGACCTCTGACCCTAATCATTGCATTACATTATGCTTGACCATAATCCATCTCATCTCCCTCTCCTATAAGTTACTGTACATGTGTGACCTGGCCTCGTGTGTCTTCCTCTGCTTGTTTGTATGAAAAGTAGGCCAGTCTCAGTGCAGTGTACTTGTGACACACTGATTTGTGCATCATGTGACTCACTGGTTCACTCACCCTGAGTAAACGTGCTCTCTGTTGACATGAGATTTGAAAGGATGGTCTCTAAACGGGACTCCAGTGTGTGAGTCATTGCTTTACCCTTAATTTCTCTGACTCTAGGTGAGATGTGTATTTCCACATACGCCACACATGAACCGAGCCCCATTCTCTGCTTTTGTTTGTCCTCTGCAGCCAGAACTTGTCCTCTGGCTGCTCTAATGCTCGCATTACTGTGACATGCCCTCTTTATCCCTCTCAACGTTTAATGTTTATGTCCACTGCAGCAACAATTTAGACCCCGCAGTTCTGCTTTCTCTAAATGTGATGTTGCTCCAAAAGGTTAATCAAGGAAGCAAATGTGTGAAAAGCTCAAGCACTGCCGGCACTGCTGTTTTCATCTGTTTCAGACAATTTCACACAAGTCATATTCCTTTTTCCTAATCCACCAAGTGCATCATATCTAAAATGTTAGCAGCTCAAATAAAAACATGCACTGCTGTATTTATTAATCTATCTGGGGTTTTATTTGATTTTTTTTAGATTTTGACACAGCTGCAGCTTACTACTATAGTTGTGACCTAGTAAACTGTGGTATTAAAATCTGTAGAAAAAAAGAATCCAAGCTGAAACAGCATCATTTGGGAGCTCATTTGTTTGCTTGCCCACCAGCCTCTCCTCTGTCCTCTGGATATCACCCTGTCCAATATTAATTAGTCAGAAGTCTGGAAACAGAAGCAGCCTTCTTAATCCAGACAATAAGCTGCATGACAGCCACACCACGAGGAACGTATAGACTAACCCCCTGTACACAAAGCTTATTAGATGAGCTTTATTTTTATCCTGTCTTGCATCACAACAACTTTAAGACATTATGCTGGGAGACTTTGAAAGGCATTTGCAGAGAGCCCTTCTCCAGATTTAGATCAGAGATTTTCTGCAGATGTGAGGAAAGGGATGTGTTCCTTCATGTCACGATTGCAAGCGACAATTGATCATGTCTGAACGCAGACAGACGAGAGATATTTTTACAACTTACTGCTCAGAAGCTGCTTTGCCTCCTCTTTGGGTTCAGTCTGTGTTTACTGTTGCCCTTGTTAAAATGGGAGCTGCCAGCCTCCCACTCAAACTGTCCATTATAATCGTTGCTGAATGCGAGAGAAAATTAATGTGATACTTTTGTGCATGTGCTTGTCCAGGTGAGGGTTCACACTGTACAGTGAGTCTCAGTGGCTTTCCTTTCTCATTAAATGTGCACAAGCTGCACAAGCGCCTGTCATTTGCCTCGTTAGGACCTTGAGGTCGGACATGTCGATGAGGGCAAATTGTACAGCTCGATTCACACAGCTGCACCACTGACTGCTGTTTGCCCCATCCCTCTAAAGACTGTCTGACATATTTTGTTGTTTCTGTCAGCTGTTTCTTTGCAAATAAATAGAATTTATCTGAAACATTTAGCAGTGATGCTCTAGCAGAGAACCCCTGATCATGTACCTTAGAGATGTGCACACAATCTCAATCCCATTCTCAATCGCTGGGTTGGTGCCCTCGGACTCCATGAGGCTCTGCGATGCTGCTGCTTTGGGCCCTGGCTAGATGGGCTGGGGTCTCCATGCCCTGGGTGGCATTTTGGCAACAGAGATACCTATTGGGACCAGTGGGGGAGCTGGCTCCCTGAAGGACTTAGTCCAACCAGCCATTCCTCCCCATCCCCACACATTTTTCTCCTCCTGCTCCCTCACATCATCACACAAACATGCACATAGGACCTTGAGGGGTGGACAAGTCAGGGGGTGCAGGTATGGACCCCATTTCCGCATTCCTGTGGTAACCTGCCCCCCAATTTTATTCGCACCTTAAACACTTCCACCAATGACATTCCACGCAAACACACACTTAGGGCCTTGGGAATAAGCACATTCAACGGCATTTGGCAGGGGGATATTTCAGCCTCATCCCGAGTGCCGGTGCCCACTTCCAATTTTAAACTGCACTTAGACACTGAGGGCTGTGGGTGCAAGTGGGGTGGGGTGGTGGCATCAGCTGGAGTAGGCCAGACGATGCCCGCACTGCCCGCTCACCACAGCCATGGAATACACCTCATCAACACGCACTAACACTGTATTGGAGCAGGCGGAGGGAGACTAGGAATCTTAGCACACCTCTGTTGTCGCTTGGCTTCCCGGGGCTGGAGGCTAGGAGGGAGATCTGGCCATCTGGTTGGGGTCTGGGGTGGTGGGTTGCTTTGCTCAGCATTGGGCGGGGGAGCCTGTTCATCAGCACCCCAGCAGAAAGGGTCGAAGTCTGGGAACCGGTAATGGTTGTACCCCATTTGCAGCAGTACCGGGACCAGAGTGAATAGGGTGTGTATGGGGAGCATGAGTGGGTGTCCGGCGTGCATTTTTGTAAGTCTTTGGTTGTATGTATATGTGTGAGCATGAGGGAGGAAGTGTGTGACTGTGTTTGTGTATGACTGTATATGTCAGGTGGGGCCTTTGACTCCTCTCTTCTTCTGGGACTTCTTTTGATGATATAGATCTTCATCTCCCCTCCCCCTGCCACACCTGGTGTGGAGTGCGGTGCCTTGGTCTGCCTGGGTCGTGGCTCCTGGGTCAGGGGGTTTAAGATTTATGGGGTCTGCCTGATCAATCCCGGTGGCTGCCTGGTGGGATCTGGGTCCCTGGGCTCTGCTGGGTCCCCGGTGGGGGTGGTCGCCCCTGGGTCCCGGGTTGCTGGGTCCCGGGCTCGGCCGGCTGGGGGATGGGAGGCTGCGGGCGGGCCTGTGGGCTTGCCGCTGATATCTCCCTGGACTCTGCGGGCCGCTGGTTGTGGCCCCCCGAGGCTATCCTCTGCACCTCTCGAGGGGGGCAGGGGCTTTTCTGGTCGCAGTCTCCTTGGGGTCCCTGTGCTCTGGGGCAGCTCCTTGATCTCTGGGACTTGGAGCTCCCTCTGTACCCTGCACATCTTTGGGGGGCAGATCTGTGGCCCCTCACACTCTCTACTGAACGCTCCTATAGAGAAACCTTACATAAACAAGCATGTGAACACACACAGGTGCTCACATGGTGCTCTCATAAGTATGGACTTGGGCACGTTCAACACATGTCTTAAGGCTGTGGTTGGCACTAAATTCACTGAGATTTATTATCGTGTGATTGTTCAGTAAAACAATGTTGATTATATGTTTCCTCATCAAGTTGACGCTGTGATAGCTTGCTCCCGTTGTATAGTTGTGTGTCCCTTTTTGTTGTTTGTTGTTCTCTTTCTGCAGGTCTAGAAGCAGACTCTTGTTCATCATTGATTGTTTATTTTTGTGGACCCCCCCCCACACACACACACCTTTTGTCTCTTCCTTTCTCTTTCACCTCTGTCTCCGTGTCTGGTCGGAATTAAAAAGCATTCAAAAACAATAACAATAAAGTTTTAAGTATCAGGCGTGACATTAAAAGCAGACGCTTTGATGCTCCACCTGAGAGTAAATCTGTAAGGCTTGTTACCAGCATTCAGACATCAATTCTGTTTGCTTCACAGCCAGACAGGACACAGAAAAAAAATCAATTAAAAAAATAAGAGATGTACACACAAGAATAGATTCAGTGAAGTGTTGAAAACTGTTAACTCTGAGACATGAAGGTGGGATTATATATGCCAAATATTCCTAGTAACTCCCCTCTCACCATCCACGGTAGATGAAAGACTCTTGTCTTTTAGTAAATATTTAAAACAGAACTCTTCTTTTATGCCTCCATTTGGAGTCACCATGCCCTTCTCACGGAAAGCACCTATTTCTCCTCCTGATAGATTTTTCTGTCCAACACAAAGCCAAACTGTCTTTTGTAAAATTTCTTATGATATCTTTCTACTGTCAGAGCATTTTTCTATATTTCTGATTTCTTCTTTTTTATCTATATTTGGCAGGACCTGGGTTTGGAAGGCACCTCGCTAAACGACATCTTGTACAAAAACGCTGCTTTCCTTAACCTTGTGGATCCAATCTCACATGAGCTGCTGCTCAGCTTGGCTCGGGAGATGCAGTGTCCAAAGAAGGTGGGAGATTTCCTCATTCCTAAAAATATTTGTCTTATTTTTATTAAATTCAGGCCTGATTTTAGCGTTTTATGAAGGGGCGCTTTCTATTTATATTTCCTTTGAAAAGTGCTTTTCTGCAGACATATGTTACATGCAGATGCAGTTGGTAGTTCATTAAACTCTTGAAATGATTGCTCTTTGTTTAAACGTTCCAAACCCATAACATAATAATTTTTCAAATAAATATAAATTTGCATACAAGAGGCCGAGTATATAACAAATTAAATCCTGCACAATTCATTATTTTGTGGCGAAAGCAACAGTAACAGGTAGTTTCAACAGGATACTGAGCTCAATTGACCGGCTGTTATCCTTTTCTGTGCTAAATCTCTCTTCTCTTTTGTGCTTCCTGTGTTTTCCCCCTCGTGTACTCTGCATGTGATTAGATTTTCTGGCTCCAGTGAGGCAACTAAATTGAGTTTTTTTCAGCAGTAGCTCAAGGCTTCAGGAATAGTAATGTATACATATATATATATATATATATATATATATATATATATATATATATATATATATATATATATATCATGAACATACATTTCATGATTTAAAACATCAGTAGCTGGATATAATTACATGCTAAGTTGTTGTCTCCAGTGCACATGAGCAGAAAACGTCTTAGAGTTGTTGCTTTATCTCTTTCTATTCTTCTGAACAGGACGCAGACATAATAAAGTCTTCGGATAAGATTTGCAGACAGCTGATCTACCACCTGACCCCGCACTCAAAGTGGCTGCGGCAGAGCATGTCCAGACGGAAATCCCAGGCCTGGTAAGCTCTCCTGACCAGACATCCAGTCTGTAATAAATGTGCAGCTCTGCACAACAGAGAGTGGAGCTCCACTCCACGATGAGCAGCAACAGAGATTTCCACCTCTGCAGCTGACATTGAAACAGGACAGAGCTGGCCACGGGCTGACCTGGCAAGAACACCATGGCAGTCACAGCTGTCAGTAATATCTCTTTTTAAGTGCTATTTGGGTTGTTTTTTCCTTCGAACTGGCAGGAAGCACGTCCATCTGTTTACTGGAGGAAATCTGAGAGTCAAATCAAAATGTAAATGAAGGAGCGAGCTGCATTTGATGTTCAAATGTTGACTGCAGAATCAGTTTGTAGAGAAATAATCTTTGCTTGATAAACAATCCTGTTTCTGAAGAGAAATAGACTCTTGCTTTTGTAATTGTGTATTCCCCAGCTAGCTAGACACTGAAAACCATTGATTTATATTCTGGACAGGAAACTACCGAAGGAAACAATGCCAGCAACAGAACATCAGACAGGTTTATTGTGAGTCAGTCTACCAACAAAATAAGCAGACAAAAGCTAAGACACATTCATCAGGATCGAGTGGGATCAGACACTTAGCTGACAACCCCTACCAGCTGTGCTTTGTTGTGCTTGTTGACGTCTAATTCAGACTTGAAGAGAAAAGATCAAAATATTTTTTTGACAACCACAGTGTCTTTAACACTGTAGATACGTTATTTGGCAAAGATCCTGTAGCTGAAGAGCATTTTTTTACTCAGTCATGTTGGTTTTATACATCTTAAGATTGGGCATGGGCTCAGACCAGAAGATAATCATCAACACATTTAAAAGCCTGCACATCACCTGCTGCCTTTCAGAAAACCAAATGATGACAAATGATTGAGTAGGACTCAGTTTTGGTCAAGATCTTGAAAATAATGACAGATGATGTCACAAGATCTTGTGTGATCTGTGAACACTCATACGTTGAGGTTGACTCTCTGTAACAAAATGTTTCAAATCTGTGAAACTGACTGAGTTACGGTCATTTAGGACGCCATTAGTTACCACAGTGTTGCGTGACTATTTGTTCTCCACAAATGACCCATCCCCTGGTGGTGTGGTGAACTGCAGACATGGCTGCACTCGGGAACCTTTTGGTGGTTTAACCCCCCCAATTGAACCCCTTAATGCTGAGTGTCAAGCAGGGAGGCACCGGGCCCCATTTTTAAAGTCTTTATTATGATCCAATTATGGATTTGAACCCATGAACTCCCAGTCTTAAGGCGGATGCTCATACTTCTAGACCTCTGAGCTTAGTGATTCATAAGACAGGGGCAACTGTAGCTCAGGAAGAGGTAGAGCATGTTGTCCAGCTCCTGGAAGAGAATGCTGCTCTTGCGTCTTTGAGCAAGACACTTCCTCCTCCTTGCTTGCCTGTGGTCAGAATGACCGGTGGCGCCAGTGCTCGGCAGCCTCGGCTCTGTCAGTGCACCCCAGGGCAGCTGTGGCTACATCATAGCTCATCACCACCATGGTCCTGTGACTGACTGGGTTGTAAAGTGCCTTGGGGGGTTCCAGGACTCTGTATTCAGAAACAGCTTGGTCCCTTTTAATGCCACTAGATTGTTCCTCCCTTCATTATCCAGCATTAGCTACAAACATCAAATAATGCTTGCAATGTTATGGCTGAAATTCATATCAGAATCTCACTAATCCCAGTAATCTACGGAATTAGTTGTTTTGGGATTTTTTACTTATATTTTTTCTAATAATTAAGTAGGATAACAATAGGCTTGACAAGAGCGCGGCCCAGTGTTGCTGCTTAGCCGCTCTCTTGTTTCACTAGTATTTGCACTTGCCTATTGTTTTCACATTTTTTCCATCTCTTATTCCATCAGCCCTAGTTGGCCTTCAGATCGGGTGTTTTTTAATCCTCTGAAGCAACATGATTAAGTGTCTGTTGAGCAGGAGTTTTTTCACCACCCCAAAACCTGTTTGGTGCTTTTGGGTTCAAGAAGCTCTGTCAAACTTGTGTTGTGAAAACGAGAGACAACAGAAGAGTTGGACTTTTTGGGAAACAGCAGAATCAGTTTGATATTCACTGCCAATGCCATCATTATTAATGCAGACTGCGATCTACAGGGACTGATTCTCAGCAGCAACACTGACTAGAGTACACAGGAGTATTCGTTTGTTACTATGTGTTTTATTCCTTTATTTAGCCGAGGGAGAAAACTCATTGAATTGAACTCAATGGAAGGCAGAACAAGGACAAACCAAACGAATACACACAGTGTATGTTGCAATGAAAGTGCAAAGTCAGACACTAAAAACAGTAGCGTTAAGTTTTTTCATTTAACAAACTAGCAAGATTCGATCATTGAAGTGACAATGTGTAGTTTTTACCATTAGTTTCTGGAAATGTCCATTAAAATTTTGTTGTAAATGAATTAAAAGATACCCAGTTGATGAAAAATATTGGCGGTTTCATAACATATGACCTTAAAAATCGGGTCTAAAATACATGAGAGTGGGTCTAAGGATGTTTCTCAATGTCAAGACGCCTGGCCTTGCGAGGCAATGTCTTGCGAGGTCAGGCGCCTTGCTTATGAAGACACTGACCTTCCTTGGTCAAAGAAAATGGTTAAATGGAACAGACTTACATCACGTGGCCGCGGCTTCCACGGCGGTCACGTAACATCACGTGACACGAGAGACTATGTTATATTTCATACGCATAAGTTTCAATACAAATATATAACAATCCTTTTACTTTTTAAATTGTGTAAATATTTGTTCAATTAAATATATAAGCGAGTTAATACCTGCTGGTCACCGAAGCTGCAACTACTAAGCAACTAACCAACTGTAGATAACTTCTTTTGATCTAAAAAAACATTTGAAATTAGTTGACTTACTTTTAAACTTGAAATTTGCCGCAGAAGTAGCTGCCAGCTTCTGATCCGCTGCACAGCTAGCTAAATGGCTAACAAACGGAGAACACACACCTCGTCAGAACATTAACATTGGAACACACCTTGGTGGTTCCTGATGACTTATCTCCTAGGCAACCAGGACGGGGCAAAGATATCAAGGCGAGGTTCCTTGGCATTGAGAAACACCCTAAGTCTCTGGGCAATGCCATGTTGGATGCCATGTTTTCTTCTACGGAAGCCCATGAGGATAAAATGCATTTACTGGTTTGTAGCAAATGGTGATAAAACTTTCTGCATTAATGAAGGTTTTGTTTTACACATTTACTTCTTCACTCGTTGCCAGTAATGAAAAGGAATCTGATGGCAACATCCCAATGACTTCTCCTCGCTCAACGACGCTACTCCTCAGCATGGACGTAATTTTCACTTTAGAAGTGGGGGGGACACGGGGGGTAGGGTGGGGGTGGGGGGGATTTTTACAGTATGCTCTAATGGGAAACAGGCTTCAACATAAACGGTTGTTTTCTGCTTGGTCCTAGAGCTCAACCAGTGTCAATTTAATATAGCGTAATATTGTTTTTGGATGGTAAAAAGTGCAGGGGTCAAAACTTGACTTCGGAAAAAGTGGGGGGGACATGTCCCCCCTGTCCCCCCCCCTGTCCCCCCCCCCCCCCCCCCCCCAAATTACGTCCATGCTCCTCAGGGCTATGTTTACACATCTAAATCCCGCGGGGAGGCGGTCTCGCTGTAATTCATCGCTAGAGTTGGAAAGTCATCTCTGTGCCTGTCCCTCTGCTCAGCTCTATGGAGTGCCTGGCGCTTCAGCTCCCTGTACCCACTCCCACCATCATTGCTGTTATTTACCGTTCCCGTAAACCGCATCCTGACTTTCTATCCCTGTTTGCTTCACTCCTAGCCCATTTATCCACTCTGTCATCCAAAATAATGCTGCTGGGTGACTTCAATATTAACATGGACGATAACACGCTCCCCATCACTAAGGACTTTTCTTCATGTCTCCATAGTCATGGATTTCACCAACACATCAATATTCCGACCCACAACAAAAGACACATCCTAGACTTAATCTGCTGCTCCGGTCTCACTCCTCTCAACTGCTTAGCTACTGATCTCCACATATCCGACCACTTCTTTCTTTCATTTTCACTCCAACTACCTGTTAGCCGTACTAAGACACCACGTCTTATTCATTTTAGGAAAATCAACTACATCAATCTAGACACTCTCTCTTCACATCTTTCAACTATTAACTTCACTGACAAACTATCCTCTCCTGATGAACTGACTAACCACTACAATTCCAGCCTCCAAAACATCCTTGACACCTTGGCTCCATTAAAAACCCGTACTGTCTGTTTTTCCACCTTTGCCCCCGGTTCACATCTAACCTCAGAACATTAAAAGCTGAAGGGCACCAGCTGGAGCGCCTCTACAAGAGAACGGGCCTCTCTGTTCACAAAGACCTGTACATCGCCCACCTAGCCCGTTATAAGGATTCTATTTCTTTTACCAAATCAGATTACTACTCCAGTCTCATCAACTATAACAACGGAAACTCCAAAACTCTTTTCTCAGTCCTCCATAAAATTTTCAATTCTCCCTCTATACTACCCCCTCACTTCTACTCCACTGACACCTGTAATAGCATCCTTTCCTTTTTAACCATAAAATCACCCAAATCCACCAGAGTCTTAGCCCGGCTGACCCCCACATACTTCCCCCTGACAATCTCACGTTCTCTGAATCCTTCTCAGACTTCTCAGTTCCTGATGCCTCTTGTATCTCGGATTTAATATGCAAATCCAAGCCCACCACCTGTCAGCTTGACCCACTCCCATCTTCCTTGGTTAAATCCTGCCTCTCATCCCTGTTACCCTTCATTTGCTCCATCATTCATGCCTCCCTCCAGACTGGAATCGTTCCCTCAGCCTTAAAAACTGCAGCTCTAACCCCACTTCTCAAAAAGCCCGGATCAGACCCCTACAACTTTAATAACCTTCGCCCCATCTCCAACTTATCTCTAAGATACTTGAAAAAGTTGTTGCTAAACAACTGCACTCTCATC